GCATTGAAATCACCCGAAATTAAACAGGGCTTTGGAAGGTTTCTAATGATATTTTCAAGTTTTCTAAACCTTGTTCTATTTTCATTTCCAGGAGGACAGTAAACACATAAAATGGAAAGAGGGCCTCTATGAGTTTGAAGAGAAATTGCAATGCACTGGATGTCTTCATAGAAAGGAATTGATAATTCATTAAAGTTTATGGAGTTTTTCAATAAAATACCTACACCACCATGTTCATTTTTAGCATTTTTATTTAAAAGCGTATATCCTGGAAAATTAACTTTTGGGGAAGACTTTTTTAACCATGTTTCATTTAACAAGCACACATCAATATTATTAATGTTTAACAATGAATTAAGTAGTGGCTTTTTGTTATTAATACTTTGTATATTATGTTGTAAAATTCGCAATAAATCCATTAAGAATTGAGTATTTTTAGAAATGTTTCTTTAATGTGTGCTACAGATTTTACTGAATTTGAATTACCAAGGGATACCAAGGTTTTTACAATAGAGTTTAAAATTTTCTCGTCATTTATTAACTCTTTAGGTGTCATTGTAGACTGGGATTCTCCTCTTTTAAGTTTGTAATTCATATTATTTTTTGGTAAATGTGGAAAAGAGCTTGTACTTTTTAATACATTAGAGTAGGTTTTTTTATTTGACTCTAGCTTTGCTAATTTAATAGGACAGGCCTTGGATATTGCTAAGTGGTCACCGCCACAATTACTGCACTTCAGTACCTCTGATGTGCAGTCCTTGTAGCAATGATCCTGAGCACACTTGGAGCATACCTGAACATTTCTGCAGACTTTGGCTGAGTGGTTAAATTTCATACACTTAAAACATTGCATTACTGGCGGAATGTACTCTGAAACCTTGTATCTCCAATTGTCTAAGAAAATATGCTGCGGCAGTCTTGTTCCTACAAAAGTCACAGAAATAGTAGTTAATGGTACTAACTCATTATCTATTTTTTTCATAAATCTCCGAACTGAAATTATTTCACTATCAGATGACAATTTTTGGTACAATTCAAAACAACTTGTTTCCTTAGGGATAAATCGGATGACCCCCACTCTCTCCACAGAGGATGCAGGGATATAGGCTCTCATATTATTTTCTTGCAGACATTCGTTGGTCAAAAAATTGTTAGCTGCAGCTGCTTGTTTGAACACAAACATTATTTTAGTAGCACTAACTCTGCGCCGTTCGTGTATTCCTTTTACGCCCTTAAATAGCTTTGATATGGTAAGAGGATTTTTATTTCCCAATTTTTCTTCCTTGCTCAGACTTTCAACGTAGACAGGGTATTCTTCAATTTCTTTATTAAGGTCAGAATATAATCTTTTGTAACCAGGTTTGGTGTAAAACTTAAAATTTGCCTCCAAATCATTCGAAGGTTTTTCCTTTGGCGCGCTAAGTTTTCTTTTCTTTTTATTGGTATCGGACCACCCGGTATCGATATCAATATTATCATCTTCGTCATCAGTCTTCATCGACATCTTGATGCTATTAACTGCTACTTATTAGCAGTTTATACAATTTATTAACAATAAAATAAAAAAGAGATTTTATAATCCGCGCTTTTACTTTCCCGCCGAAAAGCCGAATCGACTATACGAATACGATACCAGTGTTGCCAACTCTACGTCTTTTTACGTAGATCTACGTATTTTAGGCCTTTTCTGCAAACCTACTAACTTCAGTCCCAAAATCTACGTAATTTCTTCAATTTTTTCAAATTTGTAAAATAACTTAATTCACTAGAATAAAGAAGAATATTTTCTGTTACTTTACTTAAAAACTATACAAATGTTTATTGTTTATAAAGATGTATCTAAAAACTCTTGTATCTTGTAGAATAGGTTCCCGTTATTGGTTTTGTTGACTAAATTAATGCTGGACGCAGGATTTGTGAAAGCAGAAACGACAAAACTCTTTGACTTAGTAGGTACATTCATAACCTTAAAAATTGTATTTTTAAATTTTAAATTTATTCAATGAGTACTTACAAAATGACTTTCAGTCGATGAAGTTACAGGATTTAGCAAGATTTAAACATGTGTTCATGTGTAAGTATGTTTATTTCTCTCGGCAATTTAAACCACAACTTTTCTGGAGTCTTTTACCAAGTGTACGATGATAACTATTATATTTTCATGTGATCTATTAGAAATCATGGCAAATTTTTTGACATCATAGCATAGATAAGTCTATAGATAAATAGCGTTTTTGTATGTCTTCTAGGTAAATTTATCATTTTTTTTCGGTCTGATAGAACAATTATTAACAATTTAAAACATAATTCCAAAAAGTGTCAAATAGCCTATTTAACAACAGTGTATCCTTGTCATTCTCTATACAGAATGAAAAGGAGAGACTGATGTTAAATTTAGTTTTAAATTTAGAGAATCATGCCAGAATCGACACCCACCAGTGTCTGTGTCTGATGGTAAATGTCTACCACAGCATGGTAAATGCTTCCAATGCAGCGACTTCTCCAAGAACTCTTTGTTCTATGTCCCGTTTTTAAAGAAATTGTATAACAAAATACTAGTTTTATTCAGTTTCACCTAGCTTCTTCATTTCACTCAGAAAAAAGTACGTAAATCTACGTACTTTTCATATTCAAAATTTACCAATTCTACGTAATTTTCTCATCGGGCCTACGACTTTTTCAAAATCTAAGTTGGCAACACTGTACGATACGATCATATCTCTAACTAGTCCATAGAGTACATTATATACTAGTAATAGAGATATCAGTTAACCTGAGCATACAGCGCCATCTAGCGATTCATGACATAATCACAAGTCATGTACTACTGAACCGGTACCGGCAGCTTTAGATGCGATTATTAATATGAAAAAAGGAAAAAAAAAATGTGTAAAGCTACATTATTAGATAATTTACCTACTATTCGTTTACACAGTTTTTTTTTGATAATTGTCTAAAAATGTAGCTTTAACACAGTCTGTTAGAATAAATAAAGAAGTTTTATAAATCAATTATTTTTATTTATATTATTAAATATTTGCATGACATTCTTTTAATATCATCTTTAAAATTTGTACAATTACGCAGCTTTATGGTGCCGTTTAATAATTTATTTACCTCACCACACCAGTTATATAAAAAAAATCTACAAGTCGGATCTATCATAAAAGTTTCATTGCTTTCTTTAGCCGTGTTGTGTATTTGAGATTCTTTTCAGTTAGCTTCTTCACCACTTTTTTTTAAGTTAGTTACACTTTAATCCATTGCAGATGCTGAAAAAAAGCATTTCAATAAAATTAGTTTCATTGTGAGGTGAAAAGTCTTAATTTCATTTTAACTAATTATTATTAGTATAAGAAAACTAAGTGGAAGGTTCATTTCATTATGTAATGTCTACATAATAACTAAAACATGACTAAAGCCCATGGAGGTAAGTTTAAGAAAAAAGCTAACAAAAGAATAAAGATCATTAGGATAGGTGCTCTCTAAAATATAGATAACATATTTCTGATATTTTTTTTTAAAGTTAAGTCAATAAAGTTATCAAATAATTATAATAGACAAAAATACTTATATAAAAATAAAAATTACCGGTAAGCTTATTTTTACTTAGTATCTTCGATTTCTTTACAGCGTTTTGTTGTAATTCTAACTTTACAGTCAAAACACCACCTGCAAAAAAATTTTATATTAAAACAAAAGAGAATAAGGGAATGGTTTTACTGATTTGTATATCTGAAATTTGATGCTTCCATTCAAACATTCAAAAAGAATTTTGCCCCTACCAGGATTCGAACCCAGAACTTTACAGTAGGTATTGACAACCAGTGCACATTCCACTCTACCAGAATGTCAGTGATATAAAAAATGATTTGTAAATAAATAAATAAATATTTACTAGTAGATGTAGAAGGCATTGAAAGCTGAGAATGTTCAATTTCTTTGTCAATATTTATTCTGTTGGTGACATCCGTTAAAACACTCTTTGGTGCACCAAATCCTGATAATAAAAAAAATATTTAGCAATTTATATAAAAATCACATTCAACTCGATGATTTTTATTAAGAGACCATTATATACACTCTTTACTCGATGTTTTAAAAGACTTTGAAATCAGCAATTTACCTGGCAAATGTAAAGTTGGGACAGCATGTGGAGAAAGTGTCCAAGTAAGAAACTTGGTCTCAAAATGTTTTTGACAAACTATTCCTTGCTTGAAAAGATAATTATTGTCCATAGCTAATATCTCTCCTCCGAGAGCGGAAGCCAAGTTCGGAATCGATCGGGGTGAATGTCAGGGTTAGGAAACGAATGCATTGGTATTTTATCTGCGCCTGAAACATTTGGTCAAATAGTTAAATCAGGAAAGGATTGTTTATAGAGGTTCAATTATATGTAACTGATTGGTAATACGTACGTGTTACGTTGCAATTAGGCACACAACATCTTCTCTGAGATGCCATTTTCGAGAATAACGAAATCCAAATAGTGAAGCCAATCAATAACCGATATGAAGAGAAAGGGTCAAAACGTAAAAGCAGGAGAATCGGAGTCCGGAAAAATAGCTGAAATCGTCGAAAAAACCACCAAAAATCACAAGAAAACATTAAATTCACGAAGCGTAATCAGAACAGTTTTTTTTGTTACAGTTGTTTTTTTTTGGATTCTTTACCCATTCTGGGTAGGCAAAGGGTACTATGCCCATACAGCCAATTCTTTAGTTTATTATTGCAAAATAAAATCTGTTGTAAATAATATATGCTGATAAGCTGTATTTCTTCTTTCTTGGTTTTTGTTACAGTCACTGACAGCCACAGGTATAATTTTGTGTTACTGTTTAAAAATATATGAAGTTGGAGGAATACCTAATAATACGTAAAAAATATCTGAATAACGCCATCTAGTGAAATATTACATATCTAAAATTCGTTCTGTGATGTCCATTTAAATAATTGTAGTTCGAAGTGAAAAGCCCCTGAACTAGTCTGTGGATACGATTATTACGTATCTGTCAAAGTTCGTGCTTTGGCCTGCGTTCATCATATCAGCGATTATTATTTTAATTGATTTACGAAGCTTTATACGTCAACATTATTTTTAATTAAACGTATATCTTGCGTTTTTGAAACCTTATGCTGTTAAGAATTCGTAAGTACTATAATAAAATATACAGCCTTCTATTTTTAGTTGTATTACGTCATTGCAGGTTTAAAGTAAATATGACTATTTTGCTCAAAAACAATACATGTGTGAAATTCTTCTTTTGACAGACGGTTTCTGTTTTCGGATTTCTGTTTGTATAAAATAAAGAAACAGTTGAAGTGAAAAATGCCAGGGTAAGCAGAAATGGTTAGGGAGTGGCCGACCTACTTACAGGCTTGCTCACTTTAAAAACTCACAAGCACCTGCCTACACAAAACATTCCTAACTGTCATAAGTCATAACATTCCCATATGTCCATAATTTCGTCTAAACTGCATTTATAACTTGATTTTTTGTTGACAAGCTAGCTTTTAAAATTATCTATTGAAAATTCGCATAAAGACAAATGTGTTTAATATTTAACTGATCACAAATTTAATATGTATAGAAAATAATAATTGGAATTCAATCTTACAAAAAGAACTGTAAATTTTATTATGAACAAACTTCTATTCAATTAATATGGTTGAATAGGTACATAAAGGAGTTTTCAATCAATAAATCCAAGGGAGTCATGTTAATGTAACAACAATAAACTGTTAATTACAAGGTTGCTTAACTCTTCTTAGTCTATATTATATCTAACAAAGAATAAATACTAACTTTCTCTTGTAAATGTTTGCCTCTTCCACACATAATTATAATGAGTAGCTTTCAAATTTGTTTATAAATTGTGTAGTAGTGTAGGCTAAAATTAGATTTAACACTGCTCAGTATGTTACTTGAGGCATGTAAAAAAATATGTTTACTGCTTTTTAAGTACATTATCAATTAATGAAAATACTTACTACACTGTGAAAGATAAATAGGTATATTGTATCACAAAATCTAATGAATAATTATGACAATAAAATATGTACTTCACTAGTTCTGCTAAACTGAGTAGAATGGCTGCACAATCAAATAGGAAATGCCATAGAACAGCATACACTGCAACAAAAAAAATTACTAGTTTTTTACCCATAGTCAAAATTGCATTAATATACAGTGGCTAGACATTACTAATCCATCCACAAATATTTTGTTACTAATAAATATAATGTTTTCCTGGTATATTATTTTCCTTATATACCATATATATTGAAAAATTATTGATACTTAATCACTAATGTTAAACTTTGGTAACATCAATATAATTTGGTTTTCAGCATTGCAACTATGTCTTTAGATAATATGTTTTGCACCCGTTGTGGTGATGGCTTTGAACCAAATGAAAAGATTGTTAATTCAAATGGAGAACTATGGCATACAAATTGTTTTGTGTAAGTTGTTTCTTTTTTTTTATATTTTATCATTGTTCTGAATGAATATCATAATTATTTTATTACAACTTTTCAACAGATGTGCCCAGTGCTTCAGAGTATTTCCTGAAGGAATATTTTATGAGTTTGAAGGACGAAAATATTGTGAAAGAGACTTTCAGGTTCTGTTTGCACCATGCTGTGGGAAATGTAGTGAGTAAATTATTTACAATTTCTCCAACTTCAAAATTTTAAATAAGAAGTACCCAAACAAGTAGCTTGTACATTGATATCATTTGTTTGCTGTAGGAACTTCACTTGGCTATTTGTGTTTGCTATTTGTAAACTTGACATTAGTTTGTTGTTTTCATTCCATATAAACTGTGATACAGACAGACTGTTGTCAAGTTTACAGTAGCAAATACCAATAGCCTAGTGAAGTGCCCATCAGAAACATAACTTGGGCGTCACATTAAAAAGGACTGAAAATACTCAGGAAAATTTTGTTGAAACTTTACATTAATTTTATAATCTGTTCCAGATGAGTTCATAATTGGGCGTGTCATCAAAGCTATGAATGCTAATTGGCATCCAGCTTGTTTCCGATGTGAGGAGTGCAATGTAGAGCTTGCAGATGCTGGTTTCATCAAGCATGCAGGCCGTGCTCTCTGCCATGGCTGTAATGCCAGAATCAAAGCTGATGGTCTTCAGAACTACATGTGTCATAAATGCCAGTTAGTAATGTTCTAAAATGTCTTCTTTTTATATTAAGTAACTTCCTATGTTCTTTATATGATCAAAAAGGATACAGGGATTTATTATATAGCCCTTTTTTGGAAAATGTATATATTATTTGGATAGTCAGTCAATTGAAGCAATTCTTTATTTTAAAATTACTTTATGGACATTCTTTCTTAAACAGCATGACAAGCATGTGTATTTCTGGCAAGATATTTAGAATTTTTGTATTTAGACAATTATGCCAAAAATATGCTGTGTGAGTGTGAAAATATTCATACACTTTTTATTTTATTAGTCACCCCTATTTTTAATAGAACAAAGTAAGCAAAATAATGTGGCACAGTGGTATTCATACTTTTACACATTCTGACAAAGGCCTAAAATTATGCACACAAGGCAATACAAACACACAAAAACACGCACGCGCGCGCGCGCCCACACACACGCACACTCACACACACGCACACACACACACAATTACCTTTTTCTTTTTATTATTATTTGTTCCTTAAGCACTTCTCATATTAATAAATACATTGATCACATAAATGGTACACAGTTGGCTTGCTCTGTTCATGTAGTTTTGGGAGTGGAGGCCTGGTGTCTTGTAGAACAGGTTTATCCTATTGCAAGCACCAGTCTTCACATTAAGTAATTAAATATTGTAAATAAGCACTTCATTGTAAATGTTTGTTTTCTACTTATGTGAAGAAATAAATTAAGAATTTATTATTATTAAATGGGCATATTTCTGTTTGTGTCAGTGGTGTGATTGACGGGGAGCCTCTGCGTTACCGCGGCGAGGTTTACCACGGGTATCACTTTACTTGCGCTACTTGCGGCGTCGAATTGGATCACACCGCACGCGAAGTCAAGAATCGGCCGGGTTATGCTGCCAACGACGTGGTATGTTCAATCAGTGTTGCCAACTCTACGTCTTTTTACGTAGATCTACGTATTTTAGGCCTTTTCTGGAAACCTACTAACTTCAGTCCCAGAATCTACGTATTTTCTTAATTTTTTTCAAATTTGTAAAATAACTTAATTCACTAGAATAAAGAAGAATATTTTCCATTACTTTACTTAAAAACTATACAAATGTTTATTTCTTATAAAGATGTATCTAAACACTCTTGTATCTTGTAGAAAAGGTTCATTAGGTTTATTGGTTTTGTTGACTAAATTAATGCTGGACGCAGGATTTGTGAAAGCAGAAACGACAAAACTCTTTGACTTAGTAGGTAAATTCATTACTCACATCGAATTGATCTTTGCAAAAAAAAAAAATACTTTCAGTAGATAAAGTTACAGGATTTAGCAAGTTTTAAGCATATGTTCATGTCTAAGTATGTTTTTTCTCTTGGCAATTTAAACCACAACTTTTCTTGAGTCTTTTACCAAGTGTATCATGATAACTACTATATTTTTCATGTGATCTATTAGAAATCATGGTTTTATAATATTAACTTAGCTGTTTATTTCCTACGTGCTTGCGAGTGTTTGTTTACAAATGTTTTGACGTCATAGCATAGATAAGTCTATAGACTAAAGAGCGTTTTTGTATGTCTTCTAGGTAAATTCCAAAAAGTGTCAACTAGCCCATTTAACAACAGTTTATCCTTGTCATTCTTTACAGAATGAAAACTGATGTTAAATTAAGTTTTAAATTTAGAGAACCATCCAGAATCGGCACCCACCAGTGCCTGTGTCTGATGGTAAATGTTTACCACAGCATGGTAAATGCTTCCAAATTTCCAATGCAGCGACTTCTCCAAGAACTCTTTGTTCTATCTCCCATTCTTAAACAAATTGTATAACAAAATACTCGTTTTATTCGGTTTCAAATAACTTCTTCATTTCACTCAGAAAAAAGTACGTAGATCTACTTACTTTTCATATGCAAAATTTACCAATTCTATGTAATTTTCTCATCGGGCCTACGTCTTTTTCAAAATCCGAGTTGGCAACACTGTGTTCAATATTAATTAAGATTCACAATGGTGTCGATTCTGGCTTGATTCTCTTAAACTGAAAACAAGTTTAACATCAGTCTCTCGTTTTCATTCTGTATGGACAGTGTTAAGTTGTCAGTGTGATACTTACACTGTTGGCAAATTTAAATTTAGATTCAGAGAGTTAATATAAAAAAATGTAATTTCAAATGGAGTCTTTAGGTTTGCTTCTGTTTCAGAATAATCTGTTCTGCTTGAGATGCCACGATAAAATGGGCATTCCCATCTGCGGTGCCTGTCGTAGGCCCATTGAAGAGAGGATCGTTACTGCTCTCGGGAAACACTGGCACGTTGAAGTATGTTGCATTTCTGTATATATATGATAATATATTAAAAACGAATTCCTGTTTCCAAACGTTGTGTATGTTTAAATATTTGTTTAGATGATTCGTATAACTTCTCGTAATTTATCTATGTAAATAGTTTGTTCAGGAAACTAATCTTATTTTTCTTATTTACCCGCCATTTTTTCTATACTGAAATAGGAAACTACCTGGTGACAAAGAATCGTCAAATTTGAGTAGCATTGCCATGTGGCACAAGAATAATTTTTAAATAAAATCAGTAACAGGAAAAATCTCCAAGAATTTTCCTTGTTTAAGTCAAAAACTATCTTGATATTGTATTGGCTATTTATTTTTGGGGATTGATTCTTAACTTTAACTTAAAAATTTTAGCATTTTGTCTGCGCCAAATGCGAGAAACCATTTCATGGACACCGCCACTACGAGAAGAAAGGCCTAGCGTACTGTGAACAACATTACCACCAGCTGTTCGGAAACCTATGCTATGTGTGCAATCAAGTTATTGCTGGGGATGGTATGTATAAATTTAGCTCCAACTGTTTATTTTGTAAGATTACTGCCTTGTTCCTAAATTGACATTAAATCTATCAAACCTTTATGGGTAAAGACATCGTCATAAATTATGGTGATTAACGTACCCACTGCTGGGGCACAGGCCTTCCTATGGATGGAAGATGAGAGATTGGGTCATAATCCACCACGCAGGCCCAGTGCGGATTGGTGGGCGCTAACAACTTAACGTGCCTTCCACAGCACGAAAAACATGAAATAGTAAATTTTTAGACACCCATCCAATGACTGACCACTGCAAAAGTTTCTTAACTTCAACGATCGCAGCCGAAGGCGCTAACCACTTGCGTCATCGAGCTCCTCTAAACAACAACACCACCTCTTTGTATTTGCTCATGGTGATCACTTAAGTAGCACTTATGACCTTCGCATTCGTTAGTATTCACGGCCTGAACAAGGCGTGTTGCGTCAACCATTCCACTTGCTCCGTGTTCGCCTTGTCTCTCATTGACTTAACTTGGTGTCTTCAAGCAAACCCCTGTACAACAACACCTCTTTGTATTTGCTCGTGGTAGTCGCATAACTTATGACCTTCGATATATATATTTTTTAAGCATTAAATCTAAAGAAAATATAACTAGAAAAAATTCCACGCGGACCAGGCAGCAGACGGGACTCGAACCCGCACCCATCGCTATCCGGGCGATTTTGCTACCAAGTATGCTATCGCGGCCCTGATGGTCGTGTCAAATTCTTTCTAGTCTTTTTTAAGCTGCAAGGCAGCGCCATCTTTTCCTGTTGTAGGTAACCCACAGTGTCAATTAAATACCTTTACAAGTATTAAAAATTTGAAAGAAGGGATAGCAATATTTTTTTAAGGGTTCGAGTCCCATCTGCTGCCTGGTCCACGTGGAATTTTTTCTTGGTATATTTTCTATATGACCTTCGTGTCTTTGTTAATATTCACGGCCCTGAACAAGGCGTGGTGCATCAACCATTCTACTTGCTCTGTGTTTGCCGTTATCGTTGCGTGTTTAGTACCTAGTTGTCTCTCATTGGCTTAACTTGTTTTTTAAAGAAAACCCCTGTACAACAATACCTCTTTGCATTTGCTCATAGTAGTCAGATAAGTTTAACTTGTGACCTTCGTGTCTTTATTAGTATTCACGGCCCTGAACAAGGCGTGGTGTGTGCACCACTTCGCGTGCTCCGTATGCGACGCGCCGCTGAGCACGCGCAGCAAGTTCTACGAGTACGACGAGAGGCCCGCGTGCCGCCGCTGCTACGACAAGTTCCCCGTGGAGCTCAGGAAGCGGCTGAGGCGCGCGCACAACTACACCGTGCGAAGAAACTAGATTATTAGTCAGTGCCCGTCCACATCTCCCAAGTCACGACGTCGCACAGTGAGCGGAAACGATCAAAACTACGCGCGAGGCAGTAAATCTAATCCAAATTAAATATTTTTTTAATGCTCGTAATAGGGATGATGACAATTTTTTTTCTTCGTTTCACAGGTAGATTATAAAAAAGTATTGGACACGTATTTTTTTCTTTTTCACATAATATAAACATTGCAGAGATATATTGATTTGAAAAGTCGCATGACGTCACGTTTTGATACACTTTTAAGTGAAAATTCACTAAAAAGTGACGTCACGAGCCCCTACTCCCAAACTTTGACGCGCTATAACTTTGTCATTTTTGGTTGATTACCCAAAGAAATAACTTCAAAAATACGTGTCCATTATCTTTTGATCATCTAACTGACGGACTAAATAGAATTTCGTTTACTGTACCCCGTCATTACTTATATTTTACTACCCCTATTATTTATATTTTATACACAGGCTATTTTATTATATATATTTCCTTATAAATTATGTAGTTGATCGAACACGTTTTACCAAAAGTGAATTTCCACAGTGCTACAAGAAAGCAGACATAATTACGTGTATTTAAAAAACATGATTTCATTTGGATTAGATTAGTAAATCAGTAGCCTCGCGCGTAGTTTTGATCGTTTCCGCCCACTGTGCGTCGTCAACGTGGAACGGTGCGGTGACACGGCCCGGCGCGTTGACATAACGTGCAAACTTGTGCCCTATTTCACCAAGCCTTATATAAGAACATACCTTTTCATACGTTCGTGGAGAGCCATATTTGTAACTAACAACGAAAACACTACAATTGTTACGTACAAATCATAGAACACTAATCTGTGACTTTAAAATTAAGATTTAAAAAAGAAATGATAGATTTATTTTATTCTTAACATTTTTAGTGGACTATGTGGACCTTAACCAAAACTGAGACAAATTTTATAAGTGTTAGGTTAAATCTAACTAATGGCCGCATCAGAAACGCAAATTATTTAATGTTACAGTAAGTCATGTGTGTTAAATCTTACAAGTAGGTACTATTTATAGTTGCAAAGTGAGACAGATCCAACTATAATTAGATGTAGTAAAATAGTGTATCTATGTATAAGGGCCTGCGCTGCATTAAACCGGAGCAAGGAGCGGACGTCAACTCCGATTGGTTGTTTCGTGTTATTTCATAGAGCATCGTTGCGTGAGGCGGGTCTCTCGTCGTAGTCGTGCTCCCGCTTAACGCAGCGCAGGCCCCAATTGTGCCTGAAACTGGTGAGGAATGCACAAATAATTAAAGTGTACTTGCCATATTATGTTATAGATCTGTGTCTAATGAAACTCAAAAGTTATGGGTATGAGCGCAACATTGAGGGAGTGATTCCCATTTTTATGCCATAAGTACGAAAATTAAGGATGTATCATTCAAAACTACTTCTTTATCTTATTTTGACTAATTTGTATCCATTATAATATAAATCATAAAATTCCCATTTAGGTACAGATAACATTCCAACTTACTGGATTACTTACTACAATAATAAACTCAAAGTGTATGTCATGAAATCCTTAAAGATAAATATTTGGTGCTAATAGCAATTTAGCCTCTAATATTAGGTAATAATAATATATTAAATTACAATGAAAGTATTTGATGAAGTTTGTTTATTAATTTGAATAATCTACATATAATGAAAATAATATTTTATATTAAAATTTTGTAATTTAACTTAGAACATAAGCAAAAATATATAGTGATTAACAAGTGCCTAATTGAATAAATGCATTATAATATCTAAGAAGTATGTTTTATTTCTACTAAGGCAATCTTATTTTTTATTGTAGCGTACTTTCGTCATTGTAACAACGATATTAATATCGTTGTTACAATGACGGATCCACGGAGTTCCGTAAGATAATCACGTTGTCAATAACAATATAAGGACAACATTATTTAAACATTGAAAGTCACAATTTTTTTATAGATAGATCCGATAAATGACTCCGCCCCACCCAGTGTTGCCAACTCTACGTCTTTTTACGTAGATCTACGTATTTTAGACCTTTTTCTGCAAACCTACTAACTTCAGTCCCAGAATCTACGTATTTTCTTTATTTTTTTCAAATTTGTAAAATAACATAATTCACTAGAAAAAAGAAGAATATTTTCCGTTACTTTACTTAAAAACTATACAAATGTTTATTTCTCATAATGATGTATCTAAAAACTCTTTTATCTTGTAGAAAAGGTTCCCGTTATTGGTTTTGTTGACTAAATTAATGCTGGACGTAGGATTTGTGAAAGCAGAAACGACAAAACTCTTTGACTTAAAAAAAATATTTTTAAACTTTAAATATTATTCAATGAGTACTTACATCGAATTGATCTTTGGAAAAAGAAATAACTTTCAGTCGATAAAGTTACAGGATTTAGCAAGTTTTAAACATGCTTTTATGTGTATGTTTATTTCTCTTGGCAATTTAAACCACAACTTTTGTAGTCTTTTACCAAGTGTATCATGATTTTATAATATTACTCAAAAAAGTTTATTTCCTACGTGCTTGCGAGTGTTTGTTTACAAATGTTTTGACGTCAAAGCATAGATACAGTGCTGCCAACCCGAATTTTAGAAAATTAGTAGATTATGTGCCAAATGTTGGTAGAAGTTGGTAGAATGTAAAATGCAAAATTGGTAGATCTACCACCTCAATTTAGAAGATTTTTTAAGATTAAAAATGCATGCAATGCAATGCAGAGCACACTTCAGATCACACCTACATGATTTGCAATAAAAATATCCGTCAGCCTTAGTAATTTCTTGAAGCTAGGGCTGCCATCCGTCCGGGTTTCCCCGGATTTGTCCTAGTTTACGGGGCGTCCGGGGAGCGTCCGGGCGGGGTTTTATTTGTAGTCCGGGTTAAAAAATTTACGGCAACGTCTGAGTGGCACTTGGTGCTGCAAGTGTCCATGGGCAGCAGTGACCACTTATTATGAGGTAGACTGTAAGCTCCTTTGCCTAGATCAACATAAAAAAGTTTTTTTGTGACATTTTTAACTGTTTTTTTTGGTCTGTCCGGGTTCTGGGCAACAAAATTCGGAGTTATCACGCGTCTTATCCTGGTTGCCACATTTTAGAGATGGCAGCCCTACTTGAAGCCAACCTGCAAATTCCATGTCTTTCTCCCATAATTTCGAATATTTTTGGTCATACTTTTTTCTAGGTTTTCGTGGCGGAGTTCCTAACCTAGAACTATGTGCATCCCTTTCGCTGCTGTCAGAATCCATTATATAAATAAATGCACGCAACAAAGAACAAACAGCAATCAGCACCGTTAATACGCAGTTAATTAGTTTTTACAATAAAACAGGAGCAAAGATTCAACATTGATTACGCAACAAACCAACCGGGAATAGGCCACAGTAGGAATAGTAAAATATGGGCGCGAAATTGTGCGAACGCCGAACTCATGACGAACTGTTGCTGACGTTTTTTTTTTGTGGTTTATGGCCTGGACTCTATGTATGCTTGACGCATCGTTGCGTGGCTCATGCAATACATCGCAACGTCGCTCGTCGATATAAAAATAATTCAAAGTGGAGATGTGTCAAACTAATTAAAAAATAGGTAGTTTTTAGGTCTAGGGTGGTAGATAGGTAGACTGAAGTGAAAATTGGTAGATCTACCAAAAAGTTGGTAGATATGACAGCACTGCATAGATAAGTCTATAGACTAAATAGCGTTTTTGTATGTCTTCTAGGTAAAAAAAAATAAAAAGAAACAGTCTGATAAAACAATTATTAACAATTTAAAACATAATTCCAAAAAGTGTCAACTAGCCTATTTAACAACAGTGTATCAGTGGCGGATTTACCAGTAGGCTCAGTAGGCTGGAGCCTAGGGCGGCAGATTTAAGGGGGCGGCAAATTTGGCCCAAAATCTACACAGAAAAACCAGTGACAAAAATTTTTATATTTTAGTAATGCACAGTATACTCAACACTCTTATGTCCGTAATCCGTATATAAAAGATTACTAAACGCACTGTAAAATATAGGTATGTACTTATGCGATCATGAATTTTTAAAATATTCCATTAGCGTTTCAATATTAATTATAATTTAAATTTAGTAATTTTTTAAACTAACGGGGAAAGGCCGACGTAATGTGGACGATAGAACACAAATCATAAAGTTGCAATTTCAGAATAAATATAATTGTGAACTAGCATATTGAATTTCAAAGGTCAGTAAGAGAGGCAAAAATTTAATAGCCTATTAGCGGCAAATTTGTAAATCCGCCACTGCAGTGTATTGTTGTCTTTCTCTATACAGAATGAAAAGGAGAGACTGATTTTCAATTTAGAGAGTCATGCCAGAATCGACACCCACCAGTGTCTGTGTCTGATGGTAAATGTCTACCACAGCATGGTAAATGCTTCCAATGTAGCAACTTTTCTAAGAACTGTTTGTTCTATCTCCCGTTTTTAAAGAAATTGTATAACAAAATACTTATTAAGTTAGGTGAAACCGAATAAAATAAGTATTATCATTTCATTTCACTCAGAAAAAAGTACGTAGATCTACGTACTTCTCATATGCAAAATTTACCAATTCTACGTAATTTTCTCATCGGGCCTACGCCTTTTTCAAAATCCGAGTTGGCAACACTGGCCCCACCTGATTTTATGTGACGGTGAAGTCCAGACGTGAAGATAGCTGGTACAGCAGTTCTACCTGCCACAGCAGCCATCCTCACTTTGCCGGCCTGCATGTTGCTTCTTTACGCCTTTTTTTAAAGGATCCCAGGTTGTAAGAAGTAGGGATCACTTAATAAAAACGCATGCGTCCAAGAGTTATGACAGTTCGGAATGCAAGCACGTAAAATTTTACGACTTATTGCGTACTCTACGCGTAATTCCGAATGCGTAGAGTCAAAGAAATAAGTCTAATGCTTAGCGTGCGCACCGCTAAGCGAGGCTCGGAGCGGGCGGCCGCTCGGCTTGTTTTATAGAATAGACCCGCCTCACGCGGCGCGGGCGGCGGAGCCCGCCTTGCGAGCAACGGTGCACGCTCGAATGGTTGTCTTCTGTGCTCTCGTCTGCGTCTTCTTTAAACTAGGTAGTATACCTACTACCTAGTTAATAATACATTATCAATAAAAATAATCCATCCTCGCCTGTTCGTCTCGACTTGTGCAATTGAGCACGGAGCTGATCTCCGCGACGGACGCCCGCTCCGTGCCCCGCTTAACGGTGCGCACGCCCTAGAAACGGTCGCATTTTGCGAAAGGTAGAGGAAGTCCGGGAGAGTTGAACCACTTTTAATATAAAATATCATAATTACTTTTTTATTGGGTTAAGAGAATCGATAATACACTTCTGCGATGCCTTACTTTAGTAGGTACATTTGTGCTTAATTGTATTGCTAATAAATGCGCAGGTAAAATTTTATTGGCATTTTACTAGAAAATGTGAGATGAGCTAAGTCTCCCCACCAGCAGGGACACTTGAATCCTTAGATTAAAACAAAAAGGGTAGATATGGCACTAGCCTCACAAAAGTGATCCGCATGAATTGTGGTCCACGACCCTAATAGCTTTAGTCACAACTTGACATGCAAACGACGTACATGTGAGCGCCAAAAAGAAATATTGCTAATATTTTGTGTTTATATGATAAAACAATGCCTAACACCCATATTCTTAGTCGTTTCCTCGAGATTTTTTCCACTCGACTCAACCTCATTGGAGGAAATTCGTATGCTTAGACAACAAAAATATCCTTCACTTGAGATATTCCTCACTCGAGTGGAGGTCGAGTCGAGGAATAAACTGTCAAACTCAAGGTAGCTCTCGACGTACCTTAAGGCTTCCTCGAGTGGTGTTTTCAAGTTGCTTTTATCGAGAATTATGTCTGATTTTGAGATTATTGACGAATTTGTGGATTTTATGGATTAAGTACACGATTTATATATTTATTTATTCAGTAACACATATACGATGATTAACCATATAATTATCCGGCGCGACGGTATTTACGTGATGCCGCAAATCCTTTTAAGGTTTACGACAATGATTCGTTTCAAAGAAGATTTCGGTTTAGAAAAGATACAGTCATACAAGTAATATTTCCTCTGTTAACCATTATAGAAATAAAATCCTCCAAATGATGACGTCACAATGTTGAGGAATTCTCAAGTTTGTTCAAGATACCAACTAGAATACCATTTTCGAGGTTATTTGGAGGAACTCCTTAAGGAGCCCTCGAATGAGTTTGAGTCGAGGAACGTTTGAGGACGCGATTAAGAATATGGGTGTAGGTGTCTTTAAAAAGTACTCAAATTGCTCAAGAACTAAAAATACATCCACGGCATCACTTTTCATTCGTAAGTACTATAAAATATATTTTTTCATAAAAATTGCTGTTTGTTTTGAATCTTATTCGGTAGTGACGTCGAGTACCGGTCGCGTGATTGGTCGGTAGTGCAGTGACGCGGATCTCGCCGTCTCGTTCGCGCTGCCGTTGAAACTTAACGTGCTGTTTCGTTCGGGTCGGTAATGCAGTGATGCGGATCTCGCCGTCCCGTTCGCGCTGCCGTGGGAGTTTCGCGTCCGTTTCCGAGTCACATTAAACCGATGGTCTAAACCATCGATTACAGTAAATAATTTAAATGAAAATGCAAACATTATTTCCTCTTAATTTTAGAATAGACAGTATCATAATTATTAATCGCTATTTTGCCTTAATCAACTATGGTAATAACGTATGCGGCGACATATACAATATTTAACTTGTTTTTAATACTGCCATCAAAGAAAATGTAATTAACATTACATTTTTTTGTAAAATTGTTCCAAAATCAATAAAATCACAATAGTAACTTTTTATATAAACAATTAAACATAATTAAACTTTAGCAGTGTATTTAATATTAACTTATTATAACATTTGGTATCATTTACTAGTCTTAATATAGTTTTAAATTATATCTTCCTCAGAAATAATTATCTTAACAAAATAACCAAACATTCATACTGATAACATTATTATTAATGTTTTTAATATTCAGCCTTTATTCAAATGCAAATAACAGAATAAAAAACAATTAAACAAAATTAAGTATAATTTCCCTGCACAGGGAGATATGAACCACTGAGCAAGTCCCTAGTGCAAATCGTCCCCACCGCAACTACCCTAGTGCAAATCTCCCGCTCACACTAATTCCCCTTTTAGGTTATGACAAAGAAAAACCTCCGATCGTAGAGAAAAAAACACTTAGCACACGTCAAACTACATTAGCCTGGCAATATAATAAAAGCAACACACAATACGTACCTCAATAAATACGACAGCGATCACAAAACTACTTAAAACAAAAAAAAATGGTTGCCTGTAAAGTCGGTTTTACGGGCGAAGATTTTACGTGACAACGTCTTTTTCTCGGTAGAATATTTATTGATATGAATATAATTAAATTGCACAATAGGAACAAGGAATTGAATGAAAATAAGAATTGCACAAATTTTAACTATAGAAATATATTTTGTTTACTAAAACATTGTACATGTAAACTTAAACTTAACACGAGAGACTCATCGTAACGTTACCGAGCGTTACACTTTTTCATAAGTGACTCCCAGCCGCAACCTAATTTAAGACGTTGTCACGTCAAAATATACTCCGCAGCAACAAAAACACGTTCTAGAATGTCATTGACGGACAACATCGCTATGGTGTAAAATCGCTGCATTCTTATTATTGGCCTCTTGAGTGCGACCAATGAGCGCTTTGACGTTTTGTTTGCGCTAAATTTAAATACAATTTTGAAAGGCGGCTCAACTCTCACACCTGGGCAAGTCTCCTGGTTTTCCCCTACATTCTGCGGCTGAACGCTTACAAGGGACCTAGGTCTCATATACGACAAGTTCTAGTTCTTCATCATCAAAATGGAGCCAGCGATCCATTCCTCCTAGTTGCGTTAACAATAGCGTCCCCATCCCCACCTCAAATAATATTACCATATTCTAGCATTATGACGTGGGTTTGGGTACCAAATGACTTAACCCCATGGGACTTCGAGCTATGGAATTAGAATAGTGAGAGTTAAGACATCGGGTTCTGTAAATTATTCATCGCTCGTCGTGCGGTCAGGGTAGGCGAGGCTGTGGTCCAGGGGCCCCACAACAGAGATTAAAAATAGCTAAATTTCGACGGGTCACCAACCAGGCACCAAAATTTAAAATACTCGTTTGTTGCTCTTTGGCCTCACCGGCTTGCATGCGGTATTCAAACGCCGGGTCTGGCACTATGGGTCCGAGTTCGCGTCCGTTTCCGAGTCACAAGCACGAGTTTTTTACACCTCCGTAAAGTATATCGTCAATAATTTTGTATGGAAAAAGCTAGTTTGTTCTTACATCCGATGGGGCGCTGCTTATTTTCATAAAAACTGACGATGCGATACGTTACGTAGCTGTAAAAAAAATTACTTGGGCCATTGCATGTAACCCTGCTGCAGTAAGGGGAATTCTTGCCCTGCGCCTGATCCTAACTACTGAGGAGATGGTAGTGGGATTAGAATACTACAATATGAACTCCTCATTACAAGTAGTAATCGCGGATTCGATCGCTATTGAGCTCATCAACACCATCCGCGATCCCTTTCATTTCATATTTAGAAATTTTGACTTATTGTAGCTTTGAAAGAAAGTGGAAAGAAGAGAATCTACTTATTTCAAAACAAAAATAATTATGTCCTCATTGAGCGAAGTACTTTTGGTTTTCAAACTGTTGAATATTTGCTTTGTTGAAATGACGTCGATGGCCGGTACACGTAGACGCAGCCCAGCATTGTTAAGTAACTTGAACCTCTTCTGAGACTTGAACAATACTGGTGTCTATCTGGCGTTTCTCCAACCTAAAATTTAATTTGACAACAGTTTCATCATTCTCTTTACAGAATGAAAAGGAGACACTGATGTTAAATTTAGTTGGAATCGACACCACTGAGTGGCTCAATGAGGGCTATCGCTTCTGAAACCGCCGCTATAGGCGCTTGTGTTGCGCGAGGTCTCCGAAATGTCAAATTTTATAGCTTGCGGGTTGACTACGCGGTTTTTTTCTAATTAAAATAATAGTTGTGAATATTTATCAGACTTATTATGGCAAATATGAGTTACGTGTCAATGATTGTCAGTTATTTATAAGCGGAGCTAAGAAAAAATATTGTCCTTCTTTTTTCCGAACAAAACGGGGCTGTGCAACACTGTGGCATGGGCGATTATGTTTAAGATACGATTCTTTTGTATAAAATGTAAACTTTGATATCACGAGCGTGTTTACTAACTTTAAAAGTTTCATATTGCGCGGAAAACGCGCAACCATTTTTTGGCTCGTGTTAATTTTGTATGATATAAAGTTATTATATCAACAGCCTATCTTATGTCCACTGCTGGACATAAGCCTCATAGGAGCTGGATGCGAGTAGCCCAAGATCGATCTAAATGGCGTGCATTTAGAGAGGCCTATGTCCAGTAGTTATTATATATATATATATACAATTGTATATAATAATTAAATTCATTATACTATGTACAAAATCACTTCCATTCCATTCCGCAGCAGTATAAATACGAGCCTTAACGCCTTTGAAACCAACCCTATCGGGTATTTAATATTTGTTTAAAACAGGCAAAAAAGGAAAATGAAAACAACACATTATAAGTGGGAATGTGGTTTAACGTTTTATACTTTTATTTGAACATTTAAATGTATGTGTTTCATTTACTCTAAGAATACGTAAGACATATGTAGGTTTTATGATTTTAAACTGATTACACAGCAATACTTCAACATTTTCCAAAATCAAATTCAATACACAAACAAAATTATAAATATCTATTTTTAAAGTAGGAATTGTACTCTAAACACACTTATGTACATAGAAACAGATTTACAAATAAATAAACTGTGCTCATACAATTTCAACAAATCATATATCTAAGTTTAGTCTAAATTTACATTACCTAACTGGTTGAACATTGTTTATCATAGGATAACGTATGTAAGCTACTAGTAGGTATTTCAAACAATGTTTCCGCGAATGTAGTAAGCACAAAACCAACAGCAGCTTTTATTGGTGGAACTTGATCACAGGGTGTTTCCAAAACTCAAGTTCTTTGTGATTACATCAAGTTAAATAATTGATATTTAATTATCTTTCTTCATTCTAGTGCTGGTCATTCGGTAAATGATGGAATCCCTGCCAGGGTCCATATCCATGATTGCATATACAATGGCAATTAGAGTAAACGAAAATACTATTCCAAACCAAAGAATGATATTGAAAATGGCAGAGTATTCTGAAGAATATTTATCATCATTGTGCTCGACAGTCTGTGAAAGAAAACAAAACATTGTAATTATATATTATCTATGTAATAACTTTTATCTATATGCATGCTCCATCAAAAAATATGCAGTTTTTCATCAATTTCTTTTGAATTCAGGTTTTGATGAGTAAGTCTTTCAAGCAAAATTTTAGAAGTTTTTTGAGATAATTTGTATTTAACAAGGTACAAAATTGGGCAGAAATCCCAGGTCTCCTTTGCAGCTCTAAAAGAGAAAATAAGTTGTTAACAAAAATTTGCTTTGATAAATATTTACCCCATTTTGAACTTGCTTCTCGTTTTCGGGTGAGCGAATGGTGCGTCTTGTGTGTGCTACATCGGTGTTAACCACAGTCACCAGCACCGACCCATCGTAAGCCTTCTCAAATGCTTTGCTTAGTTCTAATAAAGCTTCATCTGCACAAAAAATCATGAATTATTATTTGAGTCTAATTACTTAATTTACTTAAAACTCTTATCCTTAAGTACATAAAATTGTCTATGTTTAAAACTTTGTGGTAAAGTTATTACAGTTAGATTAACAAAATATTATCCTTTGTATTTAAAAATAATTCTTTTTATGATAATCTGCTACAAAGATATTCAAGTATGTACTTACTCAACAATTTTTTCGCTTCTTTAGCTTGCAGCGAATTGGGTCCATGAAAGTCAGAAAGAGCATGTAATGACCTGAATCTAAAGTTGTAGAAGTCAATAACATCATCCGGTTTGATAGCTTTAACCTAAAGTAAAATACACATTTTATTGTTGTGAATAAACATAAATCCTCCCAACTGTAAACAAGACCCGTTTATAGTGTTGTGATTCAATTTTAATTGCAGCTGGTGAAGTTAGCACATGTCCTGGGGCAGTAAACAAAATATAGGGTGATGAAGGCGGGAAATCACTAAAATAAAACCTGTGGATAGTTGAGCTTGCTGCTAACTTCACATAGCAACTTTCACATCTAATTTCAAAGTTAGTATATAAAGATGAACATGGATGCTATTGCCAACTTTACGTCATATGGCTACACTTGCGTCATTTTTTAAATTTGGAAGACCTGTTACTTTAGAATTTTATTGCAAACAATTATGTATAAAATAAACTTAACAAAGATCAAATATTTCTTTTCTCAAAAAAAATGGACCAGATTGTATTGAATTGAGTAGTAGGCTTTGTGTGGATTCAAAACCCAAAGATATTAAATATCCTAGATACAACACAGACAAAATCATGGGTGAAACTTGTCCAAAAGGTACATTGAACGATCCATAGATTTCCATAAGATGATCTTGTGGTCAAAAACAATATAAGGCATTATTTAAACATTGAGTCATCTTTAATGCATATTGTATAAGGTCTTAATTAAAACGCATGCGTCAAAGACTTATGACAGTTCAAAATGCAAGCTCGAAAATTTTATGACCTTGTTATATGCGGAAAAATATAGACCTTATTTTTTCGACTTTACGCGCAATTCTGAATGCGCTGTAATGTAGCAGTTACAGACCGCGAGGAAAAGAGACAGCTATACAGCGACGTATAAACACGACCATGCATTTGCATATCACAAATATTTTATATTACATCAGTTTATAGTTAATTAGAATATAATTTGCTCCAAATGAGTTAAATTAACAAACATTGATTACTATTAAACACTTTACGAACTATTAGTTTTTAATTTTGCATTTTTTCACAGAGCTCTGTGGGATCTTGACTTTTCAACGGTCTGCACGTGGCTGTGAACCAAGAAGTGCTTGAGTAGAGTTCAAGCACTTCTTGATTGGGACACATTTCGAACACTGATGGTGTATCTAGGGTATTTAATATTGTTATAAAACCACCATACTGGCCCACTGCCCTTTGCTATCCGCAAGCAAAACCGTCATTGTGGCAATCCCATGACACAACACCCTCTAAATGATAGCCCATCACAATGGGCCATTGTAGTAAGGGGCCTTAACATTAAAAGTGATGACAAAAACTTTATTACCTGATTAGCAACAGTTTTTAAAGCTTCAAGCTCTGTGAGGAATTGAAAATCTTCTTCAATGGAATATTTAAGATGTTGCAAGGTTACTTTTTTGGCCTTAGGTGGTGTGATGCTACCAAAAACATCAGTTCTGGAAATTAACTGAAAAAAAAATAGTTAAATCTTTTAAGGAATAGATGGGAACAATGGGAAACTATCAATACACACAGTAAAAGGCACTAATATTGTTAAACCCAAATTTACAACATTCAAAATGCACACAAAAAGTTGTTTAGATTTACAATTGTATTGTTCAATTATGATTTACTTTATGGTAATTAGGTGTAATAAAATGGTAATCAGAATTTTCTCAGGGAAGAGCAACTGAGCTGTCACAGTTAGATACTAAGCTTAATAGCAAAGACTATATGAAAGTGCTATTGTTGATAAATCTCGGCAACAATAGCTTACATAGTTTGAAATATAATAAAATGTTGATAACTCAAGCAAAATGAGTTATTTTGTTTAATATTTACTTAAAAAAACTCTGAACTATACAAATAAATAATTGATGAACTTTCAAGCCTTAATTACACATTACATACCAGCTCACTAGTTGCACTTATTTAAAGTGCACCTAGACTAAATATCATAATATGATCATTTATTAGAAAAACAAAATCTACAGACAAAATAACCGATAGCTTGTATTGGCAGATACAAATCATCCTTTGCTGAATGATTTGTATCTGCCATTGCTTTTTCATGAGAATTGCTTTTTCTTTCTCATTTTTGTAACCAGTTTAAAAAAAAAGTTTGCATTTCTGTAACTAGCACTAAAGAGTACCTACTTGAAAAGTATAGTGAAAACAAAAAAAAATAAGATTTAGCTGCAACAACTGCTCAGTACATAAATTTGGCTTACCTGGTCAATATCAGAAAGGTCAATCTTTACCAGCTTGTTACCCCCATTTGTAAAATGCTGCTTGATTCGGTGCTCTACAGCCTCAAATGTATCTGGTTCATACTCATCCACAGACAGAGGATAGATCTTCGATTTCGATAAACCCTGAAATACAGATCGTTGTTAGGTTGTTAGCCTTGGTATAAGTTTACTTGATAAATAATTCATTTGTAGCATTACTTACAGGGTTTCCTAAGCTAGATACACCATCTACATATACTTCAACAATAGCTTCAGGTGTACTAAATGGATCGACAATCGAGAGACCATTCCATTCAGAATTCTGTAAAATAGAATTTGCAATTTTACTTCTTGTTTTTCCTGACCAAAATTCAGTATCTATTTCCTGACAAAAATAAATAAATACCTCTTCCACTGAAAGGCCTAATGATGCAGAGAATATTTCTTTGAGCTGACTCTCTAAAGTTTTGGAAGATCCCGTAAATTTCAAGGATTTAGGACTATGAAGCACAGTGAATTCCCCCGAAGCATTGGCACCTTGAAAGTGAATAAATCATGGGAAATCAATTGGGGAAATAATACAAGATGACAAAAGCTGCGAAATTAAAAACAAATTCTTACCAATTATCAAGAACACCAAAAGTATCCAATGCATAGCCATTTTCACTGCCATTTTTGCTAATCAAAACGAAATGATCGACCGAACACCAACCAAAGACATTGTGATTGACTGTCATATGACCAAAGTCTTGCCATACTAAATATTAAGAAATAATAAGGAGAAATACTGATGTCGATTCTCTAAACTTTTAAGTCTCTACTTTTCTTTCTATATAGAGAATAATAAGGATACACTGTTGTCATGATATTAGGTTAAGACAATCATGCCAGAATCAACACCTATGTATGCCTTCAAGCCAAAAAAACATATAGACGTGTCGTGACGCATTGGGTACATACATTTATTATGTGTTAGAAAGAGACAGAGAGGTTAGAGAATCCGCACGACACGACACATAAATATATAAGCCCTGTGCATATTAACGTGCTGTGGCGCGCCAGAAGCATATCATTTTCATATATTTCCTATGGTTAGAAACAAAAAACAATGCCCATTTTTGACCTGATCATGTATAGAGACGACATATACGTCAAAATAAAGCTAATTTAATTATAAGTTTATTACAATAATCCACGTGGTAAAAGAAACGCAGGACAAAAAGATTTATAATTTTATTTTTTTAAAGCATGTAACTGCTTGATGTTTAAATCTAAAGAAAATATAACTAAAAAAAATTCCACGCAGACCAGGCAGACGGGACTCGAACCCGCACCCTTCGCAATCTGGGCGAATGCACTGACCAATTATGCTACCGCAGCCTTCTCGTCGATTCCTCTAGCTATTCTTAAGCTGCAAGGCAGCGCCATCTCTTCTCATTATAGGTAACCCACAATGTCAAATGAATACTTTTACAAGTATTAAAAATTTTAAAGAAGAAATAGCAATTATAGTTATATTTTTTTAAAGCATGTGTAACTGTGTGATGCTTAAATCTAAAGGAAATAAAACTAGAAAAAAATCCACGCGGACCAGGCAGCAGACGGGACTCGAACCCGCACCCTTCGCAATCCGGGCGAATGCACTGACCAATTATGCTACCGCAGCCCTCACGGACCGCGTCGAAATTCCTGTAGCCCTTCTTAAGCTGCAAGGAAAATTATAACTATAATTGCTATTTCTTCTTTCAAATGTTAATACTTGTAAAAGTATTAATTTTTACATTGTGGGTTACCTATAATGCGAAGAGATGGCGCTGCCTTGCAGCTTAAGAATGGCTAGAGGAATTTCGACGCGAGGTCCGCGTGGAATTTTTTCTAGTTATATTTTCTTTAGATTTAAACATCAAGCAGTTACATGCTTTAAAAAAATAAAAATTATAACTATAATTAACAGCGCCATCTCTTCGCATTATAGGTAACCCACAATGTCAAATGAATACTTTTACAAGTATTAAAAATTTGAAAGAAGAAATAGCAATTATAGTTATAATTTTGCGAAGCTGCCTTGCAGCTTAAGAAGGGCTACAGGAATTTCGACGCGGTCCGTGAGGGCTGCGGTAGCATAATTGGTCAGTGCATTCGCTCGGATTGCGAAGGGTGCGGGTTCGAGTCCCGTCTGCTGCCTGGTCCGCGTGGAATATTTTCTAGTTATATTTTCTTTAAGAAAAAAGATTTTTTATTATTTCAATATGTGTAAGTTACAGTTTCCGAACGCACTTCAACTATCCAGTGTTTGCTACGTTCCATCCATTTTATACACTGCCACTTGTCAAGAATATTTGTTCAACCCTGTTTTTTATGCGTTTCAAATGCTTTTACACTGTATTTTATGTGTGTTTTTCTATATTAAACTTTTACTACATAATAATTTAAATTAATATTATTATCATTTCACAAATTCGTCATGCAGTACAATAAAATTGATCGATTTGTAAAACGGATTTCTTTGACATATGACAGGTGTTTGACAACCCGCCCTGCACAGAGCTTGTTAATTAGAATGCTTTGGTATTTTGTTTATTTTAAAAAATAATGTAGGATTGCTGTAGGATGAGTAAGGATATCTAATAGTCTATGGTTTTCATACAATCCACTTGACGTTGCCCAAAATAAATTGCTTATTCCCCTCTTGGGACAAATTATTCTTCACAATTGTTGTTTATTTATTCATATCCGTTTGGCAGGTAAGAACGCATTCTGTCCAATTTACTTGTAACAATAAAGTAATCAATTCACAAATACCTGCACTGCTTTTGTCATTAAAACTTGATCGAAATATCTTTTCTATCTTTTTATGTAATTTGTCGTGAATAAAACAACAAAATAATTGCAGATAATGCAAAAGAACATCTGAACCTTCAGTGTTGCCAGAGCAAAAAAATAAATATAATCAAAGGGTGCGGCCAGAGTGCACTCAGATTCAGATTCCGAAAACAAGCGCGAGAAATAAACAGTGTAGTCGAAGGGTACGGCCAGAGTGCACTCCTGATTCAGATTCAGACTCAGAAAACAAAGCGCGAGAAAAAGCAGGCAACCTGCTTAGACTACACTGTTTATTTCTAGCGCTTGTTTTCAGAATCTGAATCTGAGTGCACTCTGGCCGCACCCAAAGAAATAATTCATATTTTTTTAATTTTCCTGCGTTTGAATCGTAAAAATGACTACAGGATATTATTTTCTTAATTTATACGTAATCTTTCCAGTACACTTTATATTTATCATTAACTTTCATTATTAGGTTTTCAAATGTATGGAAAGTGGGCATTGTTCTTTACGACGTTCTAACCTCTCTCCTCTCTCCAACCCATAATAAATCTATGAAACCGGCGCACCACGACACTTCACGACACGTAAATATATATAATAAAAACGAGCGAGCCTTACAGTAGTCGCGTGTGATGTGTAACATTTGAAAAACTCACCTTATATTAGTAAAAAAAGAAATAAAACCTACCACAAAAGGAATAAGCCATTTGAACATTATGTTCTAAAATCAAATCAAATAGCGCGCGCTTTTGCGACTTCCTGTTACACACTTCCGTCCTATTTAACGAAATCACTCCCACAAATTGCAGGAAAGATGTTACACATCAAAAAACTCGCCGCGACAAGCTCCACAAATAGGTATGTCTCTAACCATGGAAATTGAATCGATGTGCTTCTGGCGCGTCACGACACGTTAATATGTTCCTGGTATAATGGTAGCACTTCACTCTTGCAGGGTTGCCAACCCTACTATAAAATATAGAGTCCTACTATATTAGGGGATCAAATACCATATTTCTAAAAACCTAGAGTTCAATTTTAACACAGGTGTTGTCTTTAAGACGTACCTAGCCATAAAGGACTTACTTTTACGTGATCTCATTTTTGTAGATTTCACTTCTATCGCATGTGAATAGCACATGTCCGTTTTTCTTACACATGTGACATAAATGGGTGGGTAACCATAAAATAATGAAAATGGGATTTTTTCCAATCAATCAATAAACTTAGTGCCCATATCTTTTTTGAGGATAGCTACAGAATAGAGGTTTTTAAAGGGTCTTTCAAATAGGGCGGGTCGATGTAGACAATTTGTGACGGCCACGTTGTTTTGGCGGCATCTGTCAAATGTGTTCATATTTCTTCAGATATTGTACTAATGCCAAATCACCATGGCAAGTTACACGATTGAGCAGCACGTTCAAATCATCATCATCACGTTCAAATGATAAAACTTTATTATCAAAATAAGTGTTCGTTAGTGCAAATGTTGCGCGCATTACGTCCATTTTACGGCAGTCGCGGTGGCCCTTCAAAGTCGACTCGCCATCGTTTGGTAACCAAATTCGAGACGACTGGTTCGGTAAACAACCAACTGAAGCAACCAACGCCCTTACGTCTAAAATCGGCCGTGAACATCGCCGCTGTCCGTGAGTGTGTAGGAGAACCCGAGGCAGTCGATTTCTCGCCGTGCACTAGAACTCGGCCTTTCTCAGACTTCAACTTGGCGAATTTTGCGTCGGGACTTGGGCCTACACCCGTAGAAGCTCCAACTGACCCAGGAGCTCAAAGTGAATGACCATAGACAACGCCGTTTGTTCGCTACAGAAGTTCGACTGGGCTACAGAACGTTTGGAAGAGGACCCCGATTTCGAAAAATCATCTTTAGCGACGAGGCGCATTTTTGGATGAATAGTTTTGTTAACAAGCAAAATTGCCGTATATGGGACGACCACAACCCACATGAGGTTCACCAGGCGGTAATGCATCCTAATCCTAAAGTTACTGTTTGGTGCGGATTTTGGTCCGGCGGCGTCATTGGTCCGTACTTCTTCGAAAACGATGATGGCGAGGCCATTACTGTTAACGGCGAGCGCTATAGATCAATGATTAAATTTCTTTTGGCCTGAATTGAACAATATGGACGTGGACAACGTGTGGTTTCAACAAGACGGCGCTACGTGCCACAATAGACATTCTGCATGAACGGTTCGAGGGTACGGAGGGGTTATCTCTTGCAGAGGTGACGTGATTGGCCTCCAAGATCGTGCGATTTGACCCCACTAGACTTTTTCTTGTGGGGTTTTCTCAAGTCGCAGGTCTATACTAGTAATCCGCAATCAACCGATGACCTGGAAATCAACATAACGCAGGCCATCGCTCAGATTCAGCCGGTTCGTTTTTTTATTATAGATAGGTCCGACAAATGACGCCACCCCACCTGATGTTAAGTGAAAGTGAAGTCCATACGCGAAGATAGTTGATACAGCAGTTCTACCTGCCACACCAGCCATCGTCACCCTGCCGGCCTGCATGTTGCTTCTTCACGCCTCTTTTAAAGGATCTCAGGTTGTAAGAGGGAGGGAACACGTGAGCGGGCAGAGCATTCCATTTACGGATAGTGCGACAAAGAAATGACTCACCAAATTTCTTTGTACGCGTTGGAATTGTGGCGCCACGTCACGGCGTAATTGAAGAGGCTCAAGGTGTTTAGTCACCTCCTCATCGCCTATGATGCGGATCGCGCGCCGCTGTAATCTATCCAAAGCATCGAGCAAGTACTTGGCGGAGCCATCCCAGAGGTGCGAGCAATATTCCACGCAGGACCGCACTTGCGTTTTGTACAACAAGCACAGTTGATCGGGCGTGAAAAAACGCCGCACCTTGTCAGGACTCCGAGTTTGCATGAAGCTGTTTTGATCATGGTTTCGATGTAGTCCTTTGGATTCAGGTCTGAGCGAACTTCCATACCGAGTATGAAAATGTTGCTCTGTAGCGGAAGTGTTGTGCCCTGAAGAGAGGGAAGGGGAAGGAATGGCGATATTTTTGCCGTGCCAACCAAGTTCCTGGTACCCCATTCGGAAATGTGGTCCAAAGCCTGATTGAATTCAATGACAAGATTCTCCCGTTTCTCCTTGGTTACTGCCTGCTCAGCCGCTGCTTGTCCGAGATACCCCGCATGCACTGTACTATCGTCTGCATAGCAATGAATATTCCCAAGAGGAATTAAGTCATTGATATGCAGCAAAGAGTGGGGGATAGGACGGAGCCCTGGGGAACGCCGGCATTCACTGACATGAACCGCGAACTGCTACCATGCGTAAGGACACGAATACAACGCTCATACAGGAAGTCAGCTACCCAAGAACAGAACTGGGCTGGCAGACCGTATGCCGGAAGCTTGGAGAGAAGGCTTTTGTGCCAGACCCTGTCGAACGCCTTGGCAATGTCAAGGCTGACAGCCAACGACTCGCAACGCTTGTCGATAGCCCCACCCCAGATATGAGTTAAGTACGCTAGAAGATCACCCGTCGATCGTTTCGGTCTAAAACCATATTGACGATCATTAATCAGGGAGTGATCCTCTAGGTAGCGGGTCAGATGGTTATTAAGGACCTTTTCTAGAACTTTACATAAAACTGGTGACTGCTATTGGCTGGTAGTTTGCCGGGTCTGAGCGATCCCCTTTTTTGGGCACCGGTTGTACGTTAGCATCTCTTCAAGTCTCCCGCACACGCCCCAAAGAATACGAGCATTGGTACAAGCGCGTGAGCACGGGAGACAACTCCGCTGCACAGTTTTTCAGTACTACTGCTGGGATGCCATCAGGTCCACTAGCTTTCCGGACGTCGAGTGATTGCAATTCGGCACGAACCTCACGCTGCCTGATTTTAATAGGTATCAGGCATCGTTGTGCCACAGTGAGGTAATAATGGTGGCAGTGCATTGCAATCATCGATTCGGGAGTTAGCTGCAAAGAGTTTTGCCAGCGGCTTATGAGCTAGTGTTCCGTCTGGGCATCTCAAAGGTGGCAGCGAGGGCTGAAGCAATACTGTAGGCTGCTTTCAGGGAATCGATCCCGGGATCCTTAAGAGCGTGGCCTCTGATCCAAGCACGATATGCCGCTTAAGTAGTCCATACCCATTACAATCTCCTCAGTAATAGCAACGGCGCTGGCTGATAGGTCCTTGTCACTGAAGCAGCGCTGCTTCCAAGGGACGGACGCAAAGTAGTCATGCATACCGTTCCAATCTGCCGACCCATAGTGCCAGATCCGGCGTTTTACCACTGTTGGGCGCGGAGGCTTGGCCTGTGGCGCATTGGCAGATATCGGGCAGTGGTCCGAAGAGCCCGGGGCTCTTACCACAACCTGATAGCCCTGTAGATGGGTCGTGAGCAGAAGGTCCAGTAATGAAGGCGCTTGATTTGAAATATCTGGAATCCTGGTGAGCTGATCAACCAGTTGCTTCAAGTCATGCGTGAGAGCGAATGCGTGAGCAGAGATCCCTGCATGGTCAGTTTTCGAGGAACTTAACCACAAATTGTGGTGGGCATTAAAGTCCCCCAAAACACCAATTCTGCATCGGGAAATTGGTCCTGCGCGTCATCTGCCGCCCGACTAAGATGTTCGAAAAGTCGAGTTGTGTCAACATCGCCAGTATGGGATCTGTAGAGGCACACGTAGACGAACGTGTACCCCCAACATGGAGAAGGAGGGATCTTCTAAGCAGCGAAGACACATACACCGGCTTTCGCTTTGAAGGACTCTTCAAGCACGTAACTGGGATAATCAAGGTAGTCTGTGTCAGCAGGCGGAAGTATATGTGTCTCCGTCAGGAACAACAATGCTGGCCGTGCTGTCTCAAGGTGGTGGTAGACAGCATTGAGGTTAGAGTGGAGTCCGCGTATGTTGCAGAACTCGACCTCAAACAGCGTTGAAGGCGTGGGGGTGTGCACCGCTATACAAATTTTGTTATAGAGGCTGCCATGGTGGAAGTGAAAAAAAGAGACGCGAAAACGAGCGGACGTTGTCGCGAAGAGTCCGGGCAAATAAGGAAGGTTTGTTTTCCCGATTGACTGCCTGCAGAGGATGCGCCGACCCACCGTACGGAAGGGCCCCCCGGGACCCCACGCCCCGGACACCAACCGGCACGACGGTCCACCCCTAGATTATGCGTGACATGATGGGGCAGCCTCGCGAACGTGCCACGGGCGGCCAGCGGGACAGCCGTTTCTACGGGTCTCCCTGGCCGGCGGGTCGATGCAGTCCTCCCGGCATCGGTCCGACGGATGCCTCCCCTGGACCGAATCCTTCGCGACAACTTCCACTCGAGCTCTGGTTGTACGCTGGCTGACCCCGAAACGCGCGAGAAGCACTTCACGGGTTTTTCACCATGCGCACGGTGGTAAGAAACCAGGCGGGTGTTAGGCACCCTACCACTAGAAGAGCGGATGGAAGCTCCGATATCCCTTAATCGCTTCTTACGACACCCATGGGAAGAGAAGGGGCGGTGAGTTGTATTCTTTCTCCGTCACCACAGGGATGAAAATGTATCTATCTATGTAGTAGAGTTATTGAAAATGGGACGTTTCGGATCTGTGCCACCGTTCGAAGCCGCGGTGGACATTTAAACGATGTCATATTTCATAAATAATGGCATAAATGGGCCTTTCAAATAAAAAAATAATTTCTTTAATAACTCACATACAGCTTGTTTTCTTTAATTTTATCATCGACCCGTCCTTGTTGAAAGAACCTTTATAAAGAAGCAAATGAGAAGCAATTTTTGGCATATGAAATTTCCTATACATTATGTATGTATTGTATGGGTGTGTGATCAGTCATCCTGACATCAGAACTGCAGGTCACTTTAAATATTTTGATTATTCTTTAAATATTGACGAAGGAAATGAGAAGCAATTCTTGACATTTCAAGTGATTTCAACGCTAAATAATTTTTGTGAACTGCCATCCTGATGGTCATGATCTGTTCTTCATTATACATAATTTTTTCTATTGGCTTCATGGAACACAGGGGTGCTTCCAGGGACCACCAGTTAAAGACCATTTACATGATGCTTAAGCAATGTCAGCAGTTAGGTAGAAACTAAAAAATAATCACCAACAAATAAAAATTACTAGTACTTACACAGCTTTTGTAATATTTCAAGGATGACTACTTGTAACAAATAATATTATTAACATTAGACCAAATAAGAGTTCTATGTAAATTTTGTAGCTAGCCATTATTTTTTATTTAATTTTAGTAAAATTATATCTGAACTTCTATAATTTGTATGTTGCTGCTCCTCTGGAATTTTTTGTACATGGAAATTATCAGTTAACAGTTCATAAAATTTATTCCATATTCTTTTTTGTATCTCAGTATCTCTTAGTTCTTGAGTCAAATATATTGTTGGTTTCTTTGCCAATGTATTTACTAAACACAGTAATGTGTGCATAAGAGAATCTATAGCCTGTAACAAAACGAAGCTAATGTGAAAAAGTATTTTTTTATATATAATAATGATATTATATATAAAAAAATACTTTTTCACATCTACAGTTTACGAGCAACACTCACTTCTTCATAATAAACACAATCTGCCATCACAATCATATTAAATTCCTCTTTGAGTATTTCTGATGAGTTATCTCCCCATATCAGTGATTCTGCAACAGCATATCCTCCCATGCTACATATTTTTGACTTATTCTCATTGATATTCAATCGAAGAAGTGGTAATGCTTCAGGCAAATCTGTAAGGGTTACCTGTGCACTGCAAATATAAATTTAGTTTATTTTGAACAAATATTTGAAATGATACACAATAAGTACATATTTCAAAAAACAATTAAGTATTATTTTTATACTACCCTAACGTAGCAGCTGTGAGTCCAACTACACCCAATCCAGACCCCAATTCCAATACCTTCAGACCACTCAAAAAGTCTGGTTTGTTGTGGCACATAGTTTCAAGATACTTTGCTAAAACCAAAGACGCATCCCACACAACGCAGTTGACGTCGCCTTCTATTTTTTGAAATATTTTCAATGTCTTCAAACATATTTCAATATCTATTTCTCTAGGGAACAAATCATTAGCTTGAAAACTAGATCTTCTATGAGACATTTTCTTCTCCTTTTAATTAGTTAGGTAATCTAAAATCATTCTGTGCTCATTTTCATAAATAATCAATCAGTAATGTGCGTTTTCTTCTTCTTCTTCTTTTATTATGGCATGACGGCTAATGTTGCCATTTGCCATATGCGAGCTTTATTTGATGTGATTGGGTAGTAAATCGATTAAACTTTATCGATTAAAGGGGCAGAGTATGGATAGTTGGTGGTTGGATAATGTGGTGATAACAGACGGTAAAAAGTAGGAAACGATATTAACAAGATAAAAGGGAGATTTGCGATGAATAACAACAAGGAACAACAGGTGAGTAGGTAGGGGAATATAGGTAAATAAAGGGAACCAAAGTATAAATATGAAGATAAACTAAATTTTTATATCATTTTTTCTGATAAACTTAGATAAACATATATATACATCAGGATTATTATTATAAAGAAGGGAAGGAATGGACGTAGGAAAAGGAATATTTGCTCTATTCAATGAATCTAAAAAGGCGGTTCTGTCATATCTGGGGCAAGAAAAGAAAATATGGTTAACGTCAGCATCAACCTCGCCACATTCACATGTGGACGTATCTATTATACCATATTTTGCCAAACGATCAGGAGTACAAACATGTCCGAGGCGCATTCGGATTAAAATTGTAGTAACTGATTTACTAAACCTTAATTTGGAAAACCAAGGTTTAGTAAGTAAAGTTGGTTGTAATGAGCGATAGTACTTAGCTTTTGATTTATTACTATCCACCCATAACCTGGACCATGAATCTTGTAATGTTGTTTGTGACAAATTAATTAAATCATGAGTAGTTCTTATAATAATAAAGATCACCACATTTTACTGCGTCCCGAGCGAGGTAATTGGCATATTCATTACCAATTATGCCACAATGGCTAGGTACCCAGGCAAAAGAAACCGAATATCCCTTTAATAAACTTAAATAAAGCAACTCCCTTGTCTTTAAGATTAATGGATGATTTTTTGATCTGAATGGCAATTTTGCTAGCGCATATAATGCGCTTAAGGAGTCAGTAAAAATAATGGTGTTCTAAAGAACACAACTAAAGTTTAGCCAGCCTTATATATTCTACTGATTTGTAGATACCGAGGCACTCGGCAGTAAAAACTGAAGTCTGTGGAGGCAGACGTATTTTTTGTTGAATCTTGTAGTTGCTGTGGAAGATTCCAACTCCAACGTCCTGCTGTGCGGTTTTAGGGATGTCGAAAGTTGAAAAAAATATCGATATATCGATACATCGATATTTTAAAAAATATCAATATCGGCTTCGATATATCGCGAAAAAAACATCGATTTATCGATATATCGGACCAATTTTCCCAAAAATATCGTACACGAACGTACGAGCTCACAAAATATGACACGCGGAATAATAATGGAACGAAAATTTTCTCCCTAAAAATAGACCCTATTTTCCAATGATGACATAGACAATACTAAATACAGCACAGATCATAGATATATTGAATATCATTAATCTGAGATCCGGTTACGATTTTTCCAGATACGAATTTAGTTAGATCGTGATATGCCGCTAATAATTAAAAAAAATATCGTTTTTGATACGAATTTCGATATTGGTTATTTTGTATCGATGTATCGATATATCGAATCAAAATATATCGGCAAAAAATATCGATATATCGAACAAAAAATGTTGATATATCGATACATCGATATATTTTCAACAAGCCTGTGCGGTTTTAGACGCATCAGTAAATATTTTGTGCCATTGGTGCCAGGTCTCACTTACTATAGCATTAAAGTAGACATTTGCATTAGCCTTATCGTCGATGTGGAGGTTATAAATTATATTAGGGTTAATAGATAAAGCATCATAGTCTGTATTAAAAATAGGGGGAATATGGAAGTGATGGACCGGAATGTCTTCAGCTTTGTATCTATTAAAGGTTTTAACTCTAGTGGTGGAAGGCTCTTACGAGACCAATAAGTAGCCGTAATAACCTTTTCTGACAAAATTCTAAATTTTTCAATAACTGGGTTGTTTGTCAATTGAACGGCCTTATAAAAATATCTATCGGCTAAATACTGTCTACGAAGGTGTAATGGAGGATCATTGCATTCTACCTGTAACGCGCATATAGGGCTAGACCTCATGGCACCAGAAATTATTCGTAAGGCTTTTGACTGAATACTATCCAATTTCCGAAGAGCGCCAGCATTTCCTGGCTCCAACAAAAAAGTACCATAGTCTAATATGCTTCTCACAAGGGCAATGTAAAGCAATCTCAACGAAGTTGGATGGCTGCCCCACCAAACGCCAGCAAGACATCTTAAAATATTAATATTACGTTCGCATTTTGCTGATATATATTCACAATGAGATTTCCCGGTGAGCTTAGTATCAAGAATGATACCTAAATACATTACTTCTTGCTTCTGCAGCAGGCAAGTTTCACCAAAGCATACATTAAGGTCAGGCGGGTTTCTCATCCTAGAAAAAAGTACTAAAATTGTCTTAGAAACAGACAACTCTAGGCCGTTTCTATCTAACCATTTTTTAAATAATGATAACGAATAATTTATATCATTGTTTATGTTATTTACAGACTTATTATTACAGTATAAAACTACATCATCGGCATATTGAATAACCGAGCAAGAGCTATCTAAGGAATCTTCAAGATCATGGGTATATAGATTGTAAAGCAACGGACTGATGACTGACCCTTGTGGTAAGCCTTTTATCGCTGTTCTTTCAATTGTTGTATCATCTATATGAAGTATTAGATATCTTTCAGAAAACAGATTTATAATAAAATTGGTTAGCATTACGGGAATTTGCAAATCAACTAATTTATCGCGTAAAATCGATAAATTAACATTATCATATGCTGACTTTATGTCGAGAAAGACCGCCCCAACTGATTCATTATCGGAAAAAGCTATCCGGATTTCTGATGTTAAAATTCCAATACAGTCCGATGTGCTTCTGTTTCTCCTAAAACCGTATTGGCTATTTGACAAAAGATTCTTGCTCTCAACTAACCACTCTAATCTATTTTTCAAAAGGTGTTCAGCTATTTTAACCAGTACTGTAGAAAGAATAATCGGTCGATAAGATGATACATCAGCAGGCGATTTATTCGGTTTTAGTAATGGCAATACTGTTTGTTGCCTCCATGATGGAGGAATATTATCTGTCAGCATCACAGAGTTTATAATTTGTAAATAATAATTTTGGGTATTATCACTCAGATTAGTTACAAAGGAATACGGAATATTGTCTTTACCTGGACAAGAGTCTTTAAGATTAGCAAGGATCCCTTGTTGTTGCAAGAGCTAAGCTCTTGCATAGAAAATGGAGAATTTAAACCGAAATTATTTTGATACGGTGAAAGTATTAATATCTCTTTTACTGATGGTGGAACTAAGTTATCCATGAATTGTTCGGCTAAATGTAAAGATAGACTACAGATAGATGGTTCAACAAAAGCAGAGCGAAATCTACGTATGTTACGCCAAACTATAGACGGATGGGTTTGAGGACTAACTGAAGCACAAAATTTTTTCCAGGATTCTGACTTTTTCCTCTTTAACGATTTTTTAACTTCAGATGTAACCCGTAAAAGAACTGCAAAGTTTTCCGTGGTCATATTTTCGCGATACTGGCGCTCAGCCTTTTTTCTCCGGGAAATCTCCGAAGTACAATCTTTGTCCCACCAGGGTGGTGAGGGGATTAAATTACTACATGAATTTTTAATAGGAAATATACTATCAGCAACTTCAACCATACATCTAGCCAAAGCTGCAGAGCATTCATCTTCATTACCATTTTCCAAGATGGGTAGTGTTGAAAATTTTTCTTCCACTTTGTTTTTGTATACAGAAAAATTTACATTATGAAGTTTATATTTATTAAATGTTTTTCTCTTAACAGACTTTTTATTTGCAAATGGAAAGGTTAATATTATTGGAAAGTGATCACTTCTAAAAGATGAGGTGAGAGGATGCCAGAGTAATGATGATGCAAGGCTAGGTGTACAAATTGAGAGGTCAACAGCACTAATAAAATCTGTGTGGCTAGTAACACGGGTAGGAATACCAGTGTTAAGTAAACACAAATTGTTTTTATCCAATATGTCCATAAGTTGCTCTCCTACGCTATTTGTGGTTGAACTGCCCCAAGACTGGTGGTGACTGTTGAAATCACCAAGCACTATAAAAGGTTTTGGAAGTAGAGATAGAAGGTTATTGATTTCATTCAAAATAGATGTAGTTGGGTGAGGTACATAAATTGACACAAAACAGATATTGTTTACAATTGCAGCAATAGCAGAGTATTCGCTACAAGGTAAAGGTAATACAAAATGTTTATATTGGTAAAAGTTCTTTATCAATAGAGCAACACCGCCATGGCCATCTGCTCTATCTTGTCTTAAACAAAAATATCCTGGAATTTTGAAATTAAATCCTAATTTTAACCAGGTTTCTGGTAGTGAAATAATAAATGGATTGTATGTATTTATTAAGTAAATAAGATCAGTTTTCTTGTTATTGATGCTGCGGCAATTCCATTGAATAACTTTGGCCAATTGAGCCATGATTTGAATGTGTAATTTTATTAAGGTCTAGTAAAGGAGCAACGTGGGACTGTTCATAATTATTAAATTGAGTTAAAAAAATTATTAGAGGGACAATTACATCTGTAATTGTCAAATTTGAATTCTTGTTAAATTCATGTATTATAGCGGTACCATTACCACTGTTGTTGGGCATATCATAATCTTTGATCATATTCATATGTTTTGCTTGATTAAACCCCATATGAAGAGAAGGTGAACGAACTTTAGGTTTCATAAAGACAGTTTTTTTATAAGAATTATGTTGAGTATCATTTTTAATTGGTGTAGTTTTAAAATTAGAGGATGCCTTAGTTGGCTGGGATGTTAGTACCTCAGAGTAAGACTTATTAACAGATGGATGGACTTTTGCTGCCTCAAAATAAGAAGTATTATCATTTGCCATAGTCACTTTTATACGCCTTTGTCTTTCGTATTCTGGACAAACTCGTTTATTAGCAAAGTGGGAACCAGAACAATTACAACATTGTGCATCTTCTTCCTCAACTGAACATGTATCACCAGTATGATCCTGACCACACTTAAAGCAGCGAGGTTTAGACCTGCACTGCAGTTTAGTGTGCCCAAAACGACAGCAGTTAAAACATTGGACTGTTGGATATATATAGCGGTCTACAACTAATGCATTATAGCATAAAAATACACGGGAAGGAAGTACTTGGCCATCAAAGGTAATAACTACTGACTGGGTAGGTTTCCATATCACAGTATTATCTTAAAAACTTTATGGTTAATACGTCTTATTTTAATTATCTCTCCGCAGCCTACAGGAAGAGTGATTTTTTCTTTTATTTCATCAGGAGTCCAATCATGTGGTACTCCACGCACAAGACCCATTTGGGTTATGTTGAAAGAAGGCACAAAAGCTTTATAATTATTGTCTTGTAATCTCGTATCACTTAAGAAATTATTAGCAGCTTCAAATTTATTAAAGGCAAGGACAATACGGTTTCTCCCAATTTTTTTAACACTGCCATCTACTATGGCTTGAAAGTTATGTTTTTTAAGAAAATAACCAAAATTCACAGGGTGTAGGGTGGAGGAGTCATTAAAAGCTGTCTGCTCACGCTGGACATGCACAATGAAAGGTGGAAAATCATTTTTGGCATAAAATTTACGACTATTCACAGGATTACTCACATCAGGTTGAGGCTGACTTATGTTATTCCCTTTTAATGGGGGTACAGTATGAGGGGTCGTTTGTTTATGATTAGTAATAGCAGACTCGATAGAACTTTCAGAATCCACACAGAGACATCCCATCTTTCCCGCCATTTTGTTTTTTCGCTTTTTCTTATTACAAGTTTTGCATATTTTAATACATTTACTCCTTTTCCTAGTCGGCGGAGCAGTCCAATCTACTTTAGTATTGACTGTTTGGTCAGTATCTACAAGGTATCTACACTTGATTCGCCTTGACTCATAACAGTCACATTATAAGCGACAGAGGGAACCGCAAATTGTTCTGTATTAGAAATGGATCCCCCCGGGTCAGGGGGTTCCTTCATTGTATATATTATATTGACTTACCAGGCGATAAAGTAACTAAAAATACACTACACAAATATAAATATACAATTAAATATAACTACACTACTCAACTGGTTGAAAAACAATTAAATTTTAATAAAATTAATTTCAAAGGTAAAAACGCGCCCGCCTACTTCAACGTTTCCCGCCTTTTTTCAATGTGCGTTTTATTTTAAAACATTTATATCATAGAGTACATTATATACTAGTAATAGAGATATCAGTTAACCTGAGCATACAGCGCCATCTAGCGATTCATGACATAATCACAAGTCATGTACTACTGAACCGGTACCGGCAGCTTTAGATGCGATTATTAATATGAAAAAAGGAAAAAAACATACTATGTTAAAGCTACATTATTAGATAATTTACCTACTATTCGTTTACACAGTTTTTTTTTATAATTGTCTAAAAATGTAGCTTTGACACAGTCTGTTAGAATAAATAAAGAAGTTTTATAAATCAATTTTTATTTATGTTATTAAATATTTGCATGACATTCTTTTAATATCATCTTTAAAATTTGTACAATTACGCAGCTTTATGGTGCCGTTCAATAATTTATTTACCTCACCACACCAGTTATATATAAAAAATCTACGAGTCGGATCTATCATAAAAGTTTCATTGCTTTCTTTAGCCGTGTTGTATATTTGAGATTCTTTTCAGTTAGCTTCTTCACCACTTTTTTTAAGTTAGTTACACTTTGATCCATTGCAGATGCTGAAAAAAGCATTTCAATAAAATTAGTTTCATTGTGAGGTGAAAAGTCTTAATTTTTTTTAACTAATTATTATTAGTATAAGAAAACTAAGTGGAAAGTTCATTTCATTATGTAATGTCTACTTATTAACTAAAACATGACTAAAGCCCATAGAGGTAAGTTTAAGAAAAAGCTAACAAAAGAATAAAGATGATTAGGATAGGTGCTCTCTGAAATATAGATAACATATTTCTGATATTTTTTTTTAAAGTTAAGTTAATAAAGTTATCAAATAATTATAATACTTGGTATCTTCGATTTCTTTACAGCGTTTTGTTGTAATTCTAACTTTTCAGTCAAAACACCACCTGCAAAAAAAATTTATATTAAAACAAAAGAGAATAAGGGAAAGGTTTTACTGATTTGTTTATCTGAAATTTGATGCTTCCATTCAAACATTCAAAAAGAATCTTGCACCTACCAGGATTCGAACCCAGAACTTTACAGTAGGTAAGGCCGTGGTAGCATAATGGTCAGTGCATTCGCCCGGATAGCGAAGGATGCGGGTTCGAGTCCCGTCCGCTGCCTGGTCCGCGTGGATTTTTTTCTAGTAAACTTTTCTTTAGATTTAAACATCTAGCAGTTAAATGCTTAAAAAATAAATAAAATCATAACTATAATTGCTATTTCTTCTTTCAAATGTTTAATACTTGAAAAAGTATTCATTTGACATTGTGGGTTACCTACAATGCGAAGAGATGGCGCTGCCTTGCAGCTTAAGGCTAGGAAAATTTCGACGCGGCTAATATGACCGTGGTAGCATAATGGTCAGTGCATTCGCCCGGATAGCGAAGGATGCGGGTTCGAGTCCCGTCCGCTGCCTGGTCCGCGTGGATTTTTTTTTCTAGTAAACTTTTCTTTAGATTTAAACATCTAGCAGTTAAATGCTTAAAAAATAAATAAAATCATAACTATAATTGCTATTTCTTCTTTCAAATGTTTAATACTTGAAAAAGTATTCATTTGACATTGTGGGTTACCTACAATGCGAAGAGATGGTGTTGCCTTGCAGCTTAAGGCTAGGAAAATTTCGACGCGGCTAATAGGGCCGTGGTAGCATAATGGTCAGTGCATTCGCCCGGATAGCGAAGGATGCGGGTTCGAGTCCCGTCCGCTGCCTGGTCCGCGTGGATTTTTTTCTAGTAAATTTTTCTTTAGATTTAAACATCTAGCAGTTAAATGCTTAAAAAATAAATAAAATCATGAAGCAATTAATTCAAAATTGGTAGAAAACCTGACCGAGTTGAATCATAATAACGTATCAAAAGAAATGGTCGTACTACAATATTACCTATTTACAATGGTGTCGATTCTGGCATGATTCTCTAAACCTAAACTTAAATTTGACAACAGTGTATCCTTGTCATTCTCTATACAGAATGAAAAGGAGAGACTGATGTTAAATTTAGTTTTAAGTTTAGAGAATCACGCCAGAATCGACACCATTGTCAATCTAACCTAAAAATTTGCAATTTAAACAATTCCTTTTTTGGTCTCAAAATCGTAAATTGAGTAAATTTGTAACTTCAGGCAGATTACAAACAAATAGTTACACGACTACATACCCGTCATAGATGCTGTTCGCCCATAAACATCATCCAAATCCCACATAATTCGTTCAGCTTGGTAGTCTTCGAAACATCACTGGAAAACTTTAAAAATCACTTCCCGCGTGCCACTCCGATTTACTTTACTCATTTTTATACCTTTCTGCGTAGTTTCGTCTTAATTTATTACAGTTTAATCCATACAATAAAAAATACAAAAGGAAAACTGTTCCACAATTGAAACTCGATGACAGTTGATGTACATAAGTTTGGTGTGAATAATGTTAGTTCCTCAAACATTCATGTCACGACTTTATAGACAAACTGTAAATATACCACTAGAAGCCGTGAAAAAGCACCAGTTCTGGTGGAAAAACCACCAAGGTGGCAATACTGGGCATGTGTGTAGAGACAAGTCGATATTGCCCCGACCGCCACGCCGTGAGCCCTAGATTGGCCCTGCGGCAGGGATGTCTGTAGCCCGCTTAACTTAAACGGCATATTGAGTCTGTGGATGTGGATACTACTGTGTGGTTTGGTTGTGGCTGTGATAGGGATGTCGAAAGTTGAAAAAAATATCGATATATCGATACATCGATATTTTAAAAAATATCAATATCGGCTTCGATATATCGCGAAAAAAAATATCGATATATCGGGCCAATTTTTCCAAAAATATATTTAGGTCAGCCTAGCATAGTAATAATAGTTCAATACAAATTATAATTAAAGAAAGAATTATCAAAGTACCAAATTGCCGCTACACTACATGACAGTACAGTATCTCACGAAATATGACACGCGGAATAATAATGGAACGAAAATTATCTCCCTAAAAATAGACCCTATTTTCGAATGATGAAAATGCCAATGCCAGGGCCTCTCAGGTGCCATCTTTCGTAAACAAGACTAGACAGTCACACACTTCCACAGAATATAATGGAAATCAGCACAACCAATTCACCAGCGAAACAGATTTACAAATAATAGACAATACTAAATACAGCACAGATCATAGATATGTTAAATATCTTAATCTGAGATCTAGTTACGATTTTTCCAGATACGAATTTAGTTAGATCGTGATATGCCGCTAATAATTAAAAAAATATCGTTTTTGATACGAATTTCGATATTGGTTATTTTGTATCGATATATCGAATCAAAATATATCGGCAAAAAATATCGATATATCGAACAAAAAATATCGATGTATCGATACATCGATATATTTTCAACAAGCCTAGGCTGTGAGCAATTGTATTATTGCAAGATGGATTAAACATATTTTTAAACTGCATGTCTTATTGCATCGAGCAAAAAGTAGTTACGATGAATAATAAAAAAGATAAGAACGAGAGTATTCAGACTGTAACAGCTCTCAGGAACTCCTGGGTAGTATGTAAATCTAAATCGCACGCTGGACACATATATTATTTTAATACTCTTACCGGTGAAGCTGTATGGAATTTAAGTGATGCAGAAGTAAGATTATCCATTACCTATATGTATTGTTTACATTATTCTCGTGCAATAATTGTGTTTTTCTTGTAGATTGAAAAGGCCAACAAAAGAACTAAAATTCTTCAAAGTCAGCCTGGATCTAACTTAGAATCTTGTCCGGAGCCTAAAGATCCTCCAACCGATAGTGTAATGACATATAAGAAGGATAATTCTCAAGAATCTGTCAATTATCCTCCATCGTATAACAATCATATTATGAACAATCCATACCCTAAACAACAATTTCAAAATACTCCATTTATAAACACTCAATGTTTTAATTGTACTTCACATAATGTATCAGACTCAAATTGTGTTTCTATGGCTACACCACCAACAATTAACCCAAGTATCTGGGCAATTCCACCTAATCATCAAATAGTTATTGCTCCAACTACACCCTTAATCAACCAAAGTCAATCCCCGTTTGAAATGGCCTATAGTAATTTGCAACATGTCCCAAAAAACAACCAATCATTGCTTCATATGAGGAGATCAAATCTTCCATATAAACACCAGAACACTAGTAAAAACTATAGATGTAATAATGTATATAATAAATTCAATCAAAGAAAAAACTTTATGAATTTTAACTATCAGCAAAAAAACAGTTCACAATTTTTTAATGATGCTTGTGGGCCATCTACATCTAGGGATGATCTACGTCAAAAATTGGCTGCAAAAAGATGCAACTATGGTAAATTAAATGGAAGTGACAATCAAGGTATGTATTTATGTAATCCCTGTCATTAATTGATAATTGATCCTAAAAACTTTTCAAAATTGCCCTTTTTGTAGGTAAAGGTAGTTATTCATTTAAAAGTGCAAGTCAACAAAGAAGTCCTGAACCCAAAATACAAATAATTAAGTCAACTACAAAAGAGTTGTGCCCCTTTGATGAAGATGATAATTGGTTGAAGGTTTGTACAATAGTTAAGTATAGTATTAAGGCTTCGCAATATCCTTTTAGTCTTAATATTCAGACAGCAAGAAATCTTTAAAGTTTCCCTATGTCTATCTGTCTGTAGCTTAGCGAGAGACATTATAAAACTGAAATTCGGTATGAATATACATATCAGACACTGGTAAAGTGCTAAAATAAAATATAGCACCTATACATAATGCAACTTCCCCTGAGAAAAAAGGTAAAGTTATAACATGTTTATAAAACTTTTTTATCTATAGTAAAAATGGCCAGTGTATAATCTGAGTACAAAATTTCACATTTAAATGTAAATTATTTCCTTTATTACTAATCTTCAATTTGGTAGTTTATAATGCATTCAAAGTTTGGTGAAAAATTAATAGTTACAGTTTTAGGTCTCTTCAATGTCACTTTTAATTAAGTATGATTTTAAATGCACATGAAATTTGACCAACTTAAATACCTTTTTTTTATGGTTTGTTTACCTTTTGTCTCAGAGCAAGTTGAATAGAGTATAGATAATAGCTTTTTAATCAGATATAACATCAATATTTAATAGGATAATTAACCATAACATGTATGCTCTTGATTGGCAAAGCCTTCCCCCCCAATTGTCGCCACTATATATTTTGCAGTTTTTGTTCAGGCTCCTTCTCCTATGGATTGGATTTCCTCTATACATCTTTTAAAAGGCCTGCCTTTCTTTCTTTTCCTATATCTTGTGTACCACTATGTCTTTGTGCCACTCTAGCACCTCACCTGGGGCTAGACGCTTCCTACGTTAACGATGAGCAATTCGAGACGGGTCGGAAGCTGCCATATTAGTGCAACCGTATTGGGAGTTTGCAACCTAGCAGCTAGATAGATTGCCCAACATGTATAGTATAGGTTGGCTTCATTTCTCCCTGCCTCTGACTGGGTGTCCTGCTGATCTCCACTTAATTCTTGATTGTGGTGGTAACATTCTTGGTCTTTGTTTTGTCTTACAGCTTTTAAATTTATCATGCTCCTTTCCATATTGTTTTGGCAGGTTTCTGATTTCTTATTAAGAGCTTTAGGCCCAGGTTTGACACCCGTTTGTTACAATAGGGGGATTCCAATGTTAAAAGGTTTTATTTGGTTGCTATATTGTATATTTTGGCATATTTCTTTCAAGTTCTTATTACCAGATATTTTGTATATTTCTTTTAACCTCCAGTATCTTTACCAGGCACTTTCTATTTCTTTGGTGGCGCCCCACGAGCGGCTAGCATAGCGAAATGAATCGCCCAGTCTTTTTTGAAATTTTCTGTTTCGCCCCGCATCCAAGGAGTGGGGTGAAACGCTCAATGGATCTTTTATAATGGGGTGAATCATACAATCTCTATATATCACAGCCTACTTCATTTTAATACTAGACTTTAAATTTGTAGGTCAGAGAGTGATGATAGTACATTAAAACAAGTTACTTAAAAGTCTAAAATCATATTGCTTTTTTGTGATGAATGGTACAAGAGATTTAGAATTCTATAATGGCTCTTGGGTCGACAGTCCACTTTATGCTTGAATAAAAAAGTCATGATCTATTGTGCTATTCTAAAACCCATATGCCTCCATGGTATCCTATTCTAGGCTACTGCTTCCGATTCCTTCCAACTTGGAGTGCCTTCAAAAGGCTCAAAACAAAATCCTTAGAACTATCAGTGGCACAGATATATATGGTATAGAATGCCTGGGGCGTTTAGGCAATGTAAGAAATATTATAAATATTATTTTACATTTTGTTTAGGAAATGTTTACAATTCCTTGGGATTGTATAGAGTACCAGTTGGCTCACCAGCTATGTGTATCGTAATCAAACCTAACATAAGCCATCCCTGTTGGATTTAAAATGACTGACGCATTTTATAATTCTCACCGAATGAATTATAAACCAATGAAATGAATGTTTGACCAACTCACAGTGGGTTAGGTTAAATTAGTGTTGTGACCTAAACTTAGTGCGATCAGAGCGAGCAAAGCGAGCGTGCCACGGCAGTGGCCGGCGAAGCGCCAGCCACCTTTTAGAGAATCAAGATAATTATATAAATAAAACAAGGAAAAGTCGACTCGCTATTTTCTTTAACACACATTGCCGACTGCGAATTCCGCATTTTATAGAATATACATTAGACATGACACTGATTGGTCTATAATTATTCATGTAATTTTTGTTTCCTTTCTTATGCAATGAAATTATTTATGGGATGATGGTTAAATATACAGGGTGTTTCTTTTAAGGTGGCAAGCCGGTGCTAGGTGATAGCTGAGTACCATATCTATCGATTTGACCCCCATGTATGTTCCGTTATAATTTTTTTCATTATTTTTTAAGATTTAACGACTGAACAGCTTTAAAAATTTATAACTTTTTTTTGAGTAAACATTTCTTAGTATTTTTTTTAATACAATGCCGATTGGTTGTATTTTAGTCACTAAAATAATTTCCTTCCTTACTTTCATACAAGATATTTTTTTTTATCGATGGTAAAAAAATTGGGAAAAAGCAGGACAGAATGGAAATTTCAACTTTAAAAATTAATTAAATAAAGATCTTCCTTAGCTTCTGACTAACTTTAAAAACTGCGCGACAGCCTAAGCTTTCATAATAATATAAAAAAGGATGTACTTTATGTGACATTTTTCATTGAAATCGGTCTCTGAAAGTGGTAAATCAGTTATCTTGTAATTTTCATATTTAATAATTTGTTATTATCTTTGCATATTTGTGTCATTCTTAAGATTAATTATCCATTTAACTTTAAGATGAACTCCGTTTATGGGAAAAACAGTAATTTTATCACACTATTACTATTCAATAACCACTATACCATGGAGGCAATTTAAGGTCTTTATCATTAAAGGAGGAAGCAAAAATAAAACACAAATGGCAAATTATGACCGCATTTTATTTATTATTACCTACACATACATAGTTTCAATAGGGAAGATGCATATATAATATTTATGAAAATTTTATGATTGAAATGTTAAAAAAATATAAAAGAAATGCCACTGCAACGTTTTTATTTTACATAATGTTGTTTTTTAACAATTATTACGAATTAAAAATACTTGAAACGGAACGTATTTTAAAACACCAATCAGCGTTTAGTGACGTCACTTCTGTAATGACAACTTCTTTGAGGTTATGGTTGTTAAAGTAAATATTATTTTATGGGAATATTTATTGCGTTTTTTTACATTTAATAAAAATGGAAGTTGCGTTTATCAAAGCAGACTCCAGGAATTTACCAAGAGTTAGCGTTGACATGGTTATAACTTCTTTTGTCCAAAGTGCAGAGTTTTTAAGTGTAGAAATGAAAGGGACTATATTACTACGGTATGTAAAAATCGTAGTTTATTCGTATTTTATCCAGCGGCTTCTACAAATCTTACGGCGATAATGCAATCGGCTATGTCCAAATTAAAAGAGATGGAAAATTATGTACAGTAAAAAGAGTTCTCCGGAGCATAAACTACGTAAAGAAGGTTATCGTGTTACAGTTATTTTAAATGAAACGCAAAGCTTGGTTCAGTCCTGCCAATGTGAAGATTGTGCCACACATTTTAAACTTTATCTAATTTTCGACGTCATTCTCCAACTGTAAAATTAAAAATATATTATAGACAAGTTTTGTAAGTATTAGGTAGGTTACTAATGGGTTTTTACGTACAAGCAGATTAATTAAGCATATAACAAGTATATTCGCCAACTTACGTCAAAGTGATCTTCTCAGCATCGAATAATGGTCTTTGGAGAATAATTGTCATTTCTCTTCGCAGCTTGAAACCACTTTTTTTTCAGTTTTGGGTCAGAAGTTCCAGTCAAAAACAATTTATTTGGGAACTTTGTTGAAGTAGATTGGCAAAAAACATGAGTCAACACGGCTTGTTTCCGGAATATTAGTGGTATTGTTATGATCACATGATGTTGATGGATAGTCCATTTTAAATTTTTGAAAAAAATATTTCGAAAGTCGAAAAAATATGCAAAAGTATGAAAATTTAAACCCAGCAACGAACAATTACGACCAGTGACAGACAGGAGTGACGTCATCGCAACCATAGGTTCGTTTTCGCGCGAAAATTTAAATTGTCAATTTAAAACCGCATTTTTTCCGATAAATCACAATGTTTTAATTTTTTAATATATCTGTGGTTTATTCTACATGGAATTCTTTAAAATGAAAACAAAAATAAAAATATTGCATCTTCCCTATTTGATAGTAATATTTTAAAATACCGGCAGCCAACACATTTGGCACCGTCACAAGAATACTCCATAAATTCCTATTGTGATTGATATGATTTTGCGTACAATGATGCCATAAATGAGCGTCTTCAGACTATTATGTTACTATGACCCAACGCAGGTACCGGAAGGGACGAGGTTAGCGAGAAACAGAACTAAACGAACAATACCCCGGGAGGTGGATAGGTCGCGGTGGACCAATAGCTTGGCCGCCTAGATCACCCACTCTAAACCCCATGATTTTTTTTGTATGGGGCTTTTACAAAGAGTTGGTATACTGCACAGAATATGAAAATATTCAGCAATTAAAAACCAAGTTGACAGAAGCGCAAAATGACATAAGATCGCAACACGAAGCCTTTTCAAATTTAAGTTTTTTTTTTTTGCGAAGGTGTCGAATGTGCATATCCGTTGGTAGCCAGCATTTCGAACACTTATTGTAAAAAAAAAAAAACACAAAATATGATCGCAATGTGAGTTATATTTATGTACCCCTTATAAATTATAATTATTTTTTTTAAAGGATAGTAGGGTATGATGAAATAACTTTTTCATTAACTGAGCTCAATTTAAAGTTAAATGGGTAAATTAATCTTAAGAATGCCAAAAATTATGCAAAAATAATAAAAAATATGAAAATTTTGATATTTTTGATTCAATACTTTCAGAGATCGATTTCAGCAAATAATGCCCCATAAAGTACATTTTTTTATATTATTATGAAAGCTTAGGATATAGCGCAGTTTTTAAAATTAGTTAGGAGATCAGGAAGATCTCTAAATTTTTTTTAATGTTGAAGATTCTATTCTGTTCGGTCTGTATTAGAAAAATTGTACTAGAAAAAAAATAGCTAAAAAAAGTTATACTTTTTTAAAGCCGTTCAGTCGAAAACTACAATAAATCGCGGAACATACATGGGGGTAAAATCGATAGGTGTGGTACTCAGCTATCACCTTACACCGGCTTGACACCTTAAAAGAAATACTCTGTATTTGTGAGAATAGGTGACATGATTTCTATATTGGTTGGAGCAATTTGTTATGCAATATTTATGGTATCTCATCATCATCAGGCAGATCTGTTGGGTACACAGTATTTCGTTCGAATATAAATCCCGGAAGAAATCTGTAGTTAGTGATATAATATCTTCTCTGGTCTGTTTGTTTGCAAAGCTTCCTATAAATTTGCTATTTGCATCTTGTTATGGGCAACTGTGAAACCCCACTTACAATAATATGTATTATATTTTTCAGGAGCATGCATATGTGGAAGGAACTCAATTAAAATTAAATGTAACACCTCTAAAAAATATTGTAATGTTAGATGAAAAGGGTTACTGGTATATTGTTGCAGATTCAAACACTTTACTAGAGCACTTTAAACTTATAAACGTAATAGTGAACTCTGGTAAGTTAAAATTAACATATTTATTTTTTACTGTAAGGTTTCTATTGAAACACTTTTGTAATTAATTTTATTTTCTTAAAAGAGTGGCATACCTGTCCGATAGTAAGCTTAACGGCGCTTGCTATACCAGAGTAGTACGCATGCATGAGTTGTCTACACCAGCTTAAATACACTAGTGTTGTATCACTGTGTTTTTCTACAGGGAGAAAGCTACTTTCAAGGTTTTACAATTTGTGAGAAATGTGCTCATTTATATATGTTTTTCAATACAGTAAAAGCTGTGATTGTTGTAGTACTCACGTTTAAGTAGCAGAGCGTTGTTCAACTCGATGGTATATGCAGACTAAGAACGTCACTAAATACACTGAACACTTCACACTTGATTTTATAAAGTTATTTATTAGATTTGTTTATTATTATTTTAGCACATTAGAATATCTAGACTGATTTTTTTACTAGACTGTCATATTTTGAATTTATATTTTATTTTTTATAGAAACATGACAATTTATAGCAGGACTAACTTCTTAGCCAGCCTGTAACACTCCCTCCGAATGTTAGCCCTGTAAGCCCATCATCGAACATAGCTCTTCGTGTTTGGGCTTGGGTAGAGCCTTTGTGAGAATATCCGCTGCTTGCTCATGGGTGGAAACTCTTACTGCATGCACTTCTTCACTTAAGACAACCTCGCGCACAAAGAAGTGACGGATCCTGATGTGTTTTGTCCGTTTGTGGAATTCAGGGTTGTGAGCTAGTTTCACAGCAGCTTCATTATCAACCCTGAGAGCTGGTGTGGGCATTGGAACACTTATCAGTTGGGAGAAGACTCTCTTCAACCACACGAGTTCTCTAGCTGCTTCACTTGCTGCAACTATTTCAGCTTCAGTCGTCGATATCGCTACGGTTTGTTGTCTCTGGCTGATCCAGCTAATGGCTCCGCCAGCATAACAACACAGAACACCCGTAGTGGAACGTCCAGTCAGGGTGCAACCACCATGGTCTGCATCACTGAAAGCTTCCAAAGCTTGAGAAGTTCCTGCTCTGTAGATAATTCCACGGTTTACCGTTCCTTTAAGGTATCTGAGAATTCGCTTTACTCGTAGCCAATCTTCAGTTGTGGGACTTTCGAGCTTCCTGGACGCTACTCTAACGGCATAGGCTATGTCGGGTCGAGTGCTTACCATGAGGTAGGCGAGAGCTCCAACTGCCTCTGTAAGGGAAGCATCCAATTTCGGTGCAGTTTCCTTCTTCTCTTACTATTGGCGTAGAGATAGAATTGCAGTTCTGCATGTTGAATCTCTCCAAGACCTTCCTGGTGTATGCAGGTTGATTTATAATAATAGCACCATCATCCTTGCTAGTTATTTCCAAGCCCAAATAATAAGTGGCTGGTTTGGTGGTGATTTTAAACCTTTTGTCTATGTCCTGGAGAAAACGATTGGCTGCTGCTTCGTTGGTAGCAGCTACGAGTCCGTCATCAACATACAGGGTGATCAGTAGTTTGTCAGAGCGGTCTCGTCTCGTAAAAAGGCAAGGATCTGCTTCTGCCTGTACAAATCCCATGTCAATGAGGATTTCTGCAAAGCAAATATTCCAACATCTCGGGGCTTGCTTAAGTCCATATAAGCTGCGATTCAACTTGCATACTTTTTGAGTGCCATCTTTAAAACCATCTGGTTGTGACATATAGATCTCCTCTTGAAGTTTTCCATTGAGGAAAGCAGTGGCAACATCAAATTGAGTCAAGTGAAGTCGTTCCTGGGCAGCGACACTTAGCAGACTTCTTATTGTTGCCATTCTGGCCACAGGGCTAAATGTTTCTACGTAATCTACACCTTGCCTCTGTTTGAAGCCTTTAACGACTAATCGCGCTTTATACTTTTCAATGCTGCCATCCGGATTGTATTTTATTCTGTAGATCCATTTGCATGGCAATGGTTTTCTTCCAGGAGGCATGTCAGTTAATGTCCACACCTTGTTTTCACGGAGGGAAATCAATTCGCTCTCCATAGCCTGCATCCACGATCCTCTGTCTTCACGCTTCAAAGCCTCTTTATATGTGCCGGAAAAATCGCAGTTAAAACAATCGACATGCGTGACGTAATCGCCGAGTTTGACTGGAGGTCGAAGCTGCGATCGGTCCCTCAGGTTATAGCGAGATTCAGTTCTCTCTTCAGCGTCATAAAATTAATAATATACGTGACAATCTTTTAAGTCTATAGTAATATACTTTAGTTACATAATTTGATATAACTTTTTTATAGTTTACAATTTTTATCTTTTATTGTTTATTTCTTTTTTGTCGTTGGCAATATGTACAAGCCATTTTAATTATACAGGGTGTCCCGTAAGTAATGGTCCAACCGTAAACCCTAGGTAGTTCACTCGATTGCCTACAACTAATTTGAACCGTTTTTTGAAATTCATTAGGGTTGCCAAAAAAAATGATAAAAGGTTTTTTTTTTTCAATATTTCTGTCTTGAATTGGTTTTTTTAATAGCATTGATGCAAATATTAAAAATTTTCAAACTTTTTTTCGCTAAAATGTAGCTAGATAGATTGACTATCAACTCGTTTATCACATTTGCATAATGACATTGTATTTCTCTCAAAAATATTGAAGTAACTTAATATTTTATTGCATTTTATTTGGATGACCTAAATTGAAAAGCTCCTAATGTAAAAAAAAGTATGACACCAAAGTGTTCCATTATTTTAAAAACATGTGCATTAAGTAAGGTTTCAAAATTGCTATAAAACTTATGGTTAACTAGTAAAGTTGCAAACATAATACAATGAATCCGAAGAAGAGGCGAATATCTAAAAAAAACTAAATTAATTAAATTAGTATTTAGTTGTGTTATTTCACATTATTAGGAATGTCTTTACGTTAATCAACATGATGATTATACTGATATTAGCTTTTATGGCACTAATTTGTGTAAACGACGGGTAAAATAAGGTCTTTAGAAATAAAAGCAAAAAACCGTTATAATTTTATAATAAATGTTCAAATTGCCTTCCGCCTACAGCTATGCACATTCTGCTCCTCCTTGTACACGTTGTAGATGGTACGGGTGCAAACGGTATCTTTTTAAAACCCTGTGCACCGATGCTCTAGGTATTCCAGAACGTCGTGCTATAGTTCGAACTGACGTTAATGCATCTTTTTTTTTTTTTTTTTTATTTATTTATTTTTTATTTATTTATTTAATCATTGATACATATTTTTTTTCATATTTTAATACCTTGCCAACCTGTAAACATCAGGTTGTTGGCAAGCCAACGCTCGTTTTCCTTACAGTATCATGTTAAACTAATACTACTGTTATAAACTTACAAATAATATGACTATAAGCTACTGTTAACATATTATGTCTAAGCTATTTTAAAGTGACTATCTGTTACAAATACATATTTTACGCATTATTAAAAAGAGTTTTATTATGCTTCCAATTTGAAAAAAGAGATTTTGATTTAAATATTTAGTTACAAAATATCAAGCGGTTCACTGTGAAGATTAACAATGTAATGTGAAAATAATGTTTAAGTACTTATTGATACATAGTTTTTGCTTATACAAAATAATAATAATAATACAAAATAATAATACAAAATAATAATAACAATAATGTGTTCTCATTTCTGTAAAATTTCTTTCAAGGATTTTTTTAATATATGTATGCTAACATTCTTATTTTTTCTTACCCACTCTAATTTGTTTAGAATTTTTGGTATTATATATTTATTTGTTCTCATCCCATAACTATTTTTAACTTTATGTATAATAAACTTCCTTTCCCTAACACTACTTGTATTATACCTATTGACAATGAGGGGTCTATCCCACAAATTGTAATAATTTTCTTTTACTATTAAATAATCCACTTTCTTGTCTACTGGCAATATTCTACATACTTTGTATAATTTACTGTAATCCTGTTTACATTTTTTTCTTGTGTTTTTATCAACTATATATTTCAGTAACCTTATTTGTATATTTTTTATCTCGTTTATATATGTTTTATAAGTACGCCCATATACACTAAGACCATAACTAATTAAAGATTCGACAAGAGCATGATATACCATTAGTAGTGTCCGTCTGTCTAATATTTTCACTAACTGATAAAATTTACAAAAGACATTTCGGAGCTTAGTGCAAACCTGTTCTATATGCATTTTGAAGTTAAAGTTTCGGTCTATGTCTACGCCTAGGTATCTGAAATTTTCTACCATTTCTATTTTTTGACAATTGCATGCACATTTCATATTATGTAGACATTCATAAGAGTGACCTATTATGCTAAATGTGTCCTGATTCATTGTCCTAGCTGCACGGTTATAAGGTGAGTATATATGCATATATTTAGTTTTAGTAATATTAATAATGATTCCATTATCATGTGCCCATTTAGTGATATTTTCTAGATCTTCTTGGATATTTTCTGATAATTCATTTGGATTATTAGATGCAAACATGAGGCACATGTCATCTGCATACATACAAACCCTACATCTCTGGACAACATTAGCCACACTGTTTACATGCATGATATACCCAACTGGCCCATAGACTGATCCGGTTGGTACACCCAGCTCCACTTTAGCCACTTTTCCTAATTGTCCTGATATTGCTGTACACATAGTTCGCTTGCTCAAGTAGCTTCTTAACCATTCATTCATGGGTCCTCTTATTCCACATTCACTCATAGCTTGAAGCAGCATATTATGATCAAGTGTATCGAACGCCTTTTTGTAGTCTATAAAAAGATCTTCTTGTACTTGTTGCAAAATTATTTCGTCATTGACTTGCTGTGGTCTTCCTTCACCAACACCAACTCCAGTACCAAGAATCCTTTCATCAAGTAGCGAGTTATGCAGCAAAAATTCGGTGGTCAGGGTGACGCAAATTCGGGTACCTTTCTCGGTACAATCTTGCAGCTTTTCTGGCATTACCTCTTGCTTCTCCATAGGTGTAATGCATCATAGCATATTCA